TACACTGCAATTAAACAGCCTCTTAAGCTGAACTCCATGAACCAGAATCAGCTTACACAGGCCAGCCACTGATTTTCTAAAGAAATGTTCTTTCGCCTCCTTTGCTTGCTGGCCAGTTCTTATGACATCTTTCTATCTGACTGTAGGCTTAGGGGGGCTTTTCTGGAATGTGGTTATGGTTGTCTGGCCATACGTGGAAACAATTGGAGTGTGTGGAGATGTTATTCAGAACGAAGACCCGTTTAGGTTCTTGCTTGCTTTTCGGAAAGCTCTAGAAGAATTTGTTAGGGAAGTACTGGTGATTCAATAGTCTAGTCTATTTGAAAGAGTAATAAGCATGATGGGAATGACATCCTCATATAAAGTCTTCTATCTTAGAACAGTGTTAAACGGATGTGGGTTTGGATTCCTGACCGATGCAGATCCTGAGGTATTTCAAATTGGAGTAATTGAAGTAGGAGACTTGACTCTGTGTTGGATCTTTGGTGAACGTTTAATATTGCATGTAGAATTGCCTGTTTGCTCTTTCCTCTTTGTCATGTTTCTCATGTCAAATAAAAATTTCTTGGCGCTTTTTTTTTTTTTTAAGGCAGCAGAGTCAGATCTTTGTACCCCAGCCATGCAGTCCCTTTCACAATGACCTTGAGCAATTTTTTTTATAGTTTCCACTAATTATTTTTTAAAGTTTCTCCCCAGCTTGTCCTTCTCCTGTCCTCCCAACTGCGAGGTACGAGGATAGACAACTGATCAAACCCTTCCCCCACTAATATCATCAAAACAGAAGACTATACTATGTCAAAATCCAGGCTGCGATCCTAAATGACCAATTCCTAACAAACCCACAATGCTGGGTTAATTTTGCATTGCCAGTCATATTGTACAGTTACTATTTAGCTTTTATTTAAGGATCCTATATTCAAGCACACTTTTTTGTTTGTGCTATTAATACTTTGCTGGTTCACTTGAACAAAGCCATCATGCACAGAATGTGTCATGCCGTGGCCGTCCAAAATAAAGCTGGTGGTTGAAGTTCTTGCTTACTAACCTTATTGCAATGTCCTCTTAAATCTTGAATTTAAAGAGAAAATGTGATAGCTTGCATACAGATGTTGGTGTTTCTTTTGGTCAGTTTTCTAAGAAAGGTTGTGTTGAATGACCTACAAGACCAGTAAATAAGTGTCCAAATCACAAATACTTTAGATTTAATTATCAAGGTTGCTTCATATTTCAAAGTAATAAATATACCACCTATGTATCCCATAATTGGTTACTGGGCAAAATTATCTGTTTCAAGGGTGCTTCTAAATGCCCCAAATTCCCCCCGCCCCCCCCCAGATACTTACATGTATCTGCAGTTAGATTCAATGGGAGATGAGCACCTGTATCTGAAGGTGGAATATGGTCCAAAGTAGAAAATATGGCAGGGCAACATGTCTCATTCCTGGGTTTTCCTTTTCTCCTGCAAAAATAGGTGTTGATTAAAGGGTAACTCATCTGAATCTAATTTTGTTATGGAATGAAGACTGGAGTTTGGAAAGCAGTTGGAATTGCAGGGAAGGTGTTTAACAGACAGAAGTTGACTTTGTGGCTCTCCCTGTTGTTGAAGCTAGCTTTAACTCACATTTATAACTTTGCTCTGTAATACATTTTTTGGAGGAGAGCACAGAGAGGGAGGGAGGGGTACCACAGTGTATAAAATAACAGTAGAACATTTATTAGCTAGGTCAATGCCATTTTAAATTGTATCTTTCTCCTACAAGTTTTCCAAACCTTCTCTTAAAATCGCAGCAATCCTTTAGAGTCAGGATGTTTATGTGGTTAAAGAGCAGCACGGAGAGCCAGAACAGATGGATTCTAGTGACAGCTATGTCACTGACTGTAACATTGGACAGTTCACTTCAACAGTCTGCACCACATTCTGCGGTCTGTAGTGTGCGGGACAGTAGTACCTACTTCACAGAGCCATTAGGTTTAACCCATGGTTATAAAGCTCTTTCAGATCTTAGGAGGAAGATACTATTGAAGTGCAGATAACTTATTATTCAGTTCACTTCTTTATCAGATTATCAATGTGTAAACTAAACCAATGCAAAATCAGCAGTGCTGGTGGAATTTACCAAATGCAAAACATATAATGCCTCTAAATTCTCAACGTGACATTTCCTGCTATGATTGCACAAGTGAGCCAGTCTCCTGGGATGTTAGAACTTCCTGAGTTATAAATAGAAGAGATGGGTATCATTTACTTTCCGTCTTCAAGGACTATCTTACTGGTTTATTGGTGGAAGTAATAATATTTCTGGCATGGTCCTCAGTGAGTTATATATTTGCTGATGTTAGCTGTTCACACTTAAATTGACTTGCCTATTATTGCATGAGTTAGTGTGATTGTTAGGTTGCCTGGATCTCCAGGAAGCTATTATTGGAGTAATGAAACTATGCTCAAGGTTGCAGTAGTTCTTGTTGCTGTAGATTGCTCTGCTCTTCCTGATCCCACCCACATAGCAATCTGATGGTGTCTAGGACTAATGTGAAACTGACAGCTAGGGTTGTGAAGACCTGGGTATTGATTTATGAAATATTTAGATTCCCTTTTATGCTGGGGGAAGGGTTGACTCAGGATGTGAGCGACTGCAAGGCCTAGGTCTCAAACCCAGGCCTCTATAGCTACCAGGTAGCTAACACCACCATGCTGCCACCCAGCAGTAGCTATAAGCAGCTCACGCGCCACAAGCCACGACCCGCTGTGGATACAGACCATGGGACGTTCTGCCTCAAGGGGTCTGACAGGCAGCAGCTTCATGGCTCCTGATTGGCTCCCCGCCCTATATAAACCCACGAGGCATTCCAGGAAGTGTCTGGGCAACAGCCGTGATCTCCTGTTGCTGTCATGACCATTCCTGCTCCCAGTTCTTGAACTCCTGGCTTCAACCTCAGCTTGATTTGGACCTTGCTTCTTGACCCGGACCCTGAAACCTGATTTGGACTCTGATCCTTGATATCAACCGCAGCCTGGAACTTGACTACAAACTCCTCTGCCACTTTCAGCCTCAGGTTTGACCCTGCGCTGACCTCGGTCCCAACTATCCTTGTCAAAATCCTGACAGATACTCTGTCTGCCACATTCTGGGCTAGTAGTGACAAAGCAGTAATTTGATGACTGTTTGGTGGCCTGTGTGGAATGAGTTTGATCTCAGAACAGTTGACAATAAATAGATGAGGCATTGAGCTCTAGGAGTTATGTCTCCCGGGTTCTACTCTCAACTATATGTTGCTATCTCATTGTGTGACCTCAGTCAAGTCGGGACTGCTCCATACTTGTCCGTGAGCGCTGCTTATGTTGTCTGAGAATAGTGGTGAGGGTGTGGAGTCCAGATGACTGAATATGATGGTTCAATCTCTAGGTTTTTTATTGAGTTTGTGAAAATTGTCCATTGTTCTGGGCAACTCTGTGGCCTGATAGCATGGCCTGAAAAATGACCAAAATGAGCATTTCAATTCACATGAGACCTGATTGTAAACATTTAAAAAAACCTAACAAGCTGCCTTGAGAAAGTGATATTACCCCCGTTTTAGAGGAGAGGAGAATATAAGGAGATTAAACAAACAAAATAGTTTTGCTTCCTCATCTCCATGGTACTATGAAGGTTTGAGGACGGTTTCAGTAATAATGAAGAGAATATGAAAGAGCATTCAGCGCTCATGAAACAGAAGATCTTGTATGGTGAGAGAAGTGTCTATTCAAGGTGTACAAATCATGTACAGTGACCGCAAAACCTGAGTGTGAGGAGCTGCTGAAAAGAGGCACTCGTTTTCAGAAGACAGAGAAAGAGAAGATAGAGAAGAGAACAAATGAGTGGGTATCGTAGCAGTCCAGAATTCAACTGTCCTTGGAAAGTTCAAAGAAAGAGGCTGGAACATTTAAGGCACCTAAAATATCAAGACGACATGGAGGTCTGTTGCGAAATGAGAAGCCCGTGTGTAGCTCAAAGAGGAGGAGAAGAAGCAGGGATTGAACAATATTGGAGTGAGTCTGCGAGCAGCAGCTGACTAAAAATTGTGTTAAGAAAGCCTGGCTGTCTTCATAGGTGAAGCTGGTTCTTGATGGGTATCCTCTGTTAGAGACTAATTTACCCCGTCAAGGTTTCTGGAATTGTACATGTCTGGCAGCAGCTTTCGATGGCATGTCAGGCATACTGTTCCTTCCAGACACGTTACAGGAATGTTTAGGGGAATGTACCCAAGTATGTTTGCCAGTGCTGAAGTGAGTAAGTTACATTCAAGAATTTCATGTACTCTGGAGAGATGAAAAGAACATCTATTTAGGGACACGGCTGGAGTTTTCAGTGAGGAGTATGTAAAGCAGCCTTATATGCATCCTAGAGAACAGGAAACAGTTCCCTACGGGATTAACTGAACAAGTTCAATATGTTTTAGATACTCAAACAGAATTTCCTGTCCCAAACATACTACTTCACCGTAATCTGCCTCACTTCATCATTTTACTGCTTGTTAATCTGTGCTCAGGAAGTAGACAGGTAGTTTACTCATCTTGAGAGTTCCAGTTTCCCTGTACAACCAGAGTATATAAAATATTTCACCCTGCTCTTTGCAAAAACTACTTTTTTCACTTCACTCTATCATTATCAGACTAACATGCCTGCTGCTTCCTTAACCATTTTTTACTAGATAAGAAAGATTTAGATTAGATTTGAAAGATGGAACCAGGCTAGCCAATGCCTTTTGAGCATGGGAGTGGGAGGAATGTAACTCCTATGCACAAAGAACAAGGACTAGGAAGAGAATTAATTACTCCACTGCAATGATTAACTTTTGTTTTATGTCAACTTTACACCCTATCATTGCAATTTCTACTAACAGTGAATATCTGTCTTTGAACTACATGCTTAGGCTTTTAGAGTTCATTAATTATCATAATTGCTAACAACTGCTTGGGTTTGAAGGTAATTCTGTTCTTTATTTTCTGGTTCAAACTTTAGGAAAAAATAAAGCTTGATGCTGAAAGGGAAAAACTAGAGAGGCTTCAGGAGCTTTACTCCGAACAGAAGACCCAGCTTGATAATTGCCCTGAATCCATGAGGGAACAGTTACAGCAGCAGCTGAAGAGGGTCAGTAGCAAGTTTCAAGATTGCACAAACTTTTTTTTTTTTATTGCTAAGTTAATTGTAATATATTCTATCTCATATATGCAAAGAAGCATCTGCACACTTTTTGCAGTTTAGTTGTAAGGGTTAAGTATTTGTTTCAGTGCATTCTTAATTAATATGTTGCATGGTGACAATAGAGTAGAATGCAAATCAGTGGATTAAATTTTTTTTTGTACTATTTTAAAAGCTGTAAACCAGTCACATATAATTAACAGCCTGCGCCTGTTGGCTGATGTGAAAGCTGATAAGAATTGTGATATTTAGATGGACATTAGAGCATCACCCTGTAACTGAACAAGCAGAGACAAATACTTGGTTTCAGTAATTAGGATAAACTTAACACTCCTTGCTATTTGACACAATTATCTGTTGCTTTTTTGCCACACTGTAAACTAGTCTCTCTGTGTTGCTGTGCATACTTATTTTCTTCAATACATAATTTAGTTTTTAATCTGAATCATGCATAGAAAATGTCATTCCTGAGGTTGTGTCTGCACAATTGATTTACATATCTGAGCTACTCTTTCATTCTTTGCAGTGGCACACTTGGATTTTATTCAACACTTATACAGTCCAACTTGACTTTATTGCCTGTAACATAACAAAGTTAAAGTACAGTCTAAGTATAGTTAGGTACCGAAAAGACTGTAAAAATGGCATTGTGGGGTTCTTTTCTCTCCAAGATCTCTGAGGCTAGCATTTGGAAATTGTTTATCTTCGTCTTCTATTCAGTTGGCACATGTGGTTGTTGAAAGGGTTAGTGAGACAATATGAACCAATGTGCTGTTAGTGCACTACTGTCCTTCTATCGTCTTTGATGGGCTAGAAGACTCAGCCTCATCCCCATCCTGGTGGATGCTGACTTGGCCTCAGTTGTTTACTCTTAGCTGGACCACAGCAATGTGATATATCTGGGCTTTTAAGTTTTCAGCACTTAGGAAACTCTAACTTGAACAAATTGCTGCAGCATGTTTCCTCAACAGCACTGGCTACCGCAAGCACATCAAACCTGTCTTCTGCTCTCAACACTGTCTTCCCATAGACTATCAAATCAGATTCAAGGTTTCAGTCCTTACCTTCAAGGAGTTCCATGGCCTGGGCCCAGCATATCAAAAATATCAACTGAGGCTCTGGGATGAAGACTGTGGTCAACAACTGTGCTCCTCTGGGACAATGGGACTTTCTGCCATTAGGGTAAAGCTCATCTGTGCAGGAAACAGTTTTCTCTGGGGCTGGTCCAAGACTGTGGAATGAACTCCCTAAAAGCTAAGAACCATCATAAACCTGACCACCTTCCACTCCAAGTGCAAGGTGCACTTCTTTGACCTTGCCTTCTCTAAGATAAACAAATGGATAGCAATGTGTGTGTATATATATTACATGTACAAAATCCAAAACAAAACATTCCACTGCATACACTTCTTCCCTTGGGGAGAGGATGAAAGGACAAAAATGACAGATGTCAGTCACTTTTTTAATCCACTACTGGAAAGCACTCGGACACTCTGGTGATGAGCATGTTGTAAGAAAATGTTCTGAATAGAAAGTTCTTTCAAATGTGTGTATGCACAGGTGATTCCATCTTTTTATGTTTAATTCCTGTGAAATAGAATTCTGTGTAATAGTGGGATGTTGGGAGTAATTGAGGAAGTAACCCCACAGTAAAGATGAGTCATGTTTATGCTGATGCTAATCCTAACTAAAGAAATCAAGTTTCTATTTGTTCGGACAGATTTGTGGAATGAAATTGAATAATAATTTTAGACTGTGATTCATAGAACCAAGTTAGAAGGGACTGCAAGGGTCATCTAGTCTAACCCTCTGCCAAGATGCAGAATTTGTTGTGTTTAAAAAATCATCCAATACAGATGGCTATCCAGCCTCCTTTGGAAAACCTCCAGTGAAGGAGCTCCCACAACCTCCCTAGGCAGTTTATTCTATTGTCCTACTGTTCTTACAGTTAGGAAGTTTTTCCTGAGATTTAATGCTGTTAAGTAACTGTTCTCTGATCTCTGTAAATGCAAGATTTTTTTTGTGTTTGTATGTTTGCTTGTCTTTAAAGGATGCTGATCTGTTGGATGTAGAAAGCAAACACTTTGAAGATCTGGAGTTTCAGCAACTTGAACATGAGAGCAGGTTAGATGAGGAGAAAGAAAACCTGACACAGCAGCTCCTGCGGGAAGTAGCTGAATATCAGCGCAGCATTGTCAGTAGAAAGGTAAAAGGATTAAAACTCAACTCTTTGCTTGATGTGCTTTTTTAAAGTCAAAGCACCGTTGTTTCACCATTACCTGGTTCGTTGCTGATGCACATAAAAGAGATTAAGGCGAATTCAGAGTTTGACTGTCCTTAGGAAACGTTACAAGACCTTTCTCTGAAAAAGCATCACAGCAAGAATGACACTCATAATGATGACAACCTCATCTATCCAATCACACTCCACTCTAAAAAGTAAATTAAACTGAGGAACAAAGCCCTAGAATACAAACTCATCTCCACCCCCAAAATAAAATAAAATACAAAAATACAAATAACAATCACAAAAATATCCCAAGCAAGGCTATTATCCTTAAAAGATAGGAGAGCCAGATATTCATGATATTCACTAGGGCAGTGGTGGGCAACCTGCAGCCCATGGGCTGCATGCAGCCCATCAGGGTAAGCTGATTGCAGGCCGCAAGACGTTTTACGGACATTAACTGTCTGCAGGCACGGCACCCCACAGTTCCCAGCGGCCACAGTTTGCCGTTTCCAGCCAATGGGAGCTGCCGGAAGGGGCGACCACGCTTTCTGCAGCTCCCATTGGCCAGGAACAGCGAACCGTGGCCCCTGGGAGCTGCGGGGGGCCGTGCCTGCGGACGGTCAATGTCCACAAAATGTCCCGTGGCCCGCAATCAGCTTACCCGGGCCGCATGTGGCCCACAGGTTGCCCACCACTGCCCTAGGGAGTTCACTCTTGCCACTTTATGTAGGAAGCTGTCTGATAATATGATGATGGGCAGCAGCACCTTTACTATGATCACCTTTATTAACTTTTCTCTTTATCTTTAAAGATAAATTTACTAAGAGGTGAGAAGTTGCATTTCTACCTGTAGCAGGACCACCTACCCAATCTGGCTTTGGGTTAGCTCCTACCTCATTTTCCTCCTTGGATTCCCCAATAACTTCGACACAGACTTTCATGTGTCAATGAACACTCCTTCTTGGGGTCTGGGTCTGGGAAAACAAGAACTCCCACAGCGCCTTTGTAGCTGGTTCATGACCCTTTCTGCAATGTTCTTAGTCCTATACCTGCCAAGACTTCCCTGTAGCAGATTGCCCTCCATGCTCCAGCCTTCTTATCTAGCTCCCGATGTCTTCAGGCTTGCAGCCCCTCTGCCTGGGAGCTAGGGAGAGTCTTTATGTATCAAGCAGCTCCAGTAGCCCTCCTACTCCTCTGCATCTCTTCCTGCTCTCTATTGAGTAGCAACTCCCAGGGCTTCCTACAGGGAGTCTCCCTTCTCTTCCCTTTGACTCTCTACAGGCTTCTCTTTTATCTACACCCAAGACGCCTGACTTTAGTCACATGATCTGCCTATCATGTGGTATTACTCATTTTGTACCTCTGTGCAGACAGGTGGGTCCACCACCCCTTAAAGGGCCAGTCACCCTGTGACACATCCCCTCATACCAGCCTTATACTGGGGTGCAATCACAATATATCAAGACCCATATCATCTACTGTGTATTGTCTTGATGTTTTTATGCAGGCCTCCCCAGCTCTGTCTATATAAGGTCGAAAAAATATTCAAACCCTCTTTCCCCATGTCAGCTTTATGCTTACCAGTTGAAGAGCCCCTAATGGTTACTGCTGTTTGTTATTACTCTGTGCACTGTAGTGCCTACTCAGAAGTACTTGAATGCCTTATGCATGTAAAATCCAAAGAAGTTACCAACCTCGGGACGCAAACAGGTGAAATAGATTTGAGTGAGGTTGCAGTCTTAATGCTGAAATATTTGATTGTACCAGATGGATCTTCAGATGTTTATGGTTTTATGGAGCTATTCGGCAAACATCCAAAACTGGGTGGGATAAGAGACAGAAGCAGCCAGAATCATTGGTGGACAATAAGAAGCAGTAGGGAATGTAGGAGATGGGGTTGGTCCTGCTTTGAGCAGGGGGTTGGACTAGATGACCTCCTGAGGTCCCTTCCAACTCTGATATTCTATGATTCTAAACCAGAGATGGATAAGCTAACACTGTGACAAGGCACAGGTAATGAAACAAGTATTTATTTAAATGAGGGCAGTCGTGTTCAAGATCTTCTGTTTTAATTTTCCCCTTCACTTGTGGAACAACCTGGAGTATAGTAAGAAACAAAAGCAATGATGGTTTTACATTTTTTATAACTGTTGCAGCCTCAATAAATGAACCAGATTGCTGCTTCAATCTTGCCCATCTCTTATCTGTATTTTAACAAATGGAAAATTATGCAATAAAATCTCAGCATCATGGCAGAATATAACTTGTTCTACTTCAACACAAGTAGTAGACTGAGAATGTCTGTCTTCTTTTTTTATTTTTTTTTTTCCCCCCAGCTGATCTTGCCTTGTTCTCCTGTCTATGGCACTTACAAGGAGCCACTCTCCATACTGTCTAGTTCCTATTGAATCCTCCCCACATTTAATGGAGAGATTGGCTGTCAGTTAGAAATTTCTTTGTTAGTTCTGTATTACTTTCTATCTTAGTGCATTTCATCTTCAAAGCATTTAAACATTTTAAACTAATTAAACCCCAGGCAAATATTATTATCGTAACTTCACAGAGGGACCAACGGAGGCAGAGATATTAAGAGTCCAAGACTTCAGAAGAAGTAAGGCTAGAACAGGAAGTAGAATTCAGGAGTTCCTGGTTCCTAGTCCTATGCTCGTGTGATAAAGCCTTATAGCATAGCACTATAACATGGAGAAGAGAAAAAAACAATTATTTATTTTCACAGATAGGAGACTTTCCATATGCATACACACACACACAGTTAGAGCATAAATACTTTTGCTGGAAGGTAGCAATGTAACACCACTTTATTTCTTAGAATTCAGAATGATGACACACAAGAACCCCAAAAACAGAGGCGCAACTCAAGCCATCTTACTCTGGGCTGGCTCTCTGCAGACTGATCGATCACATGCTTCCCTACAGAGACTCCAAGCCTGCAAGCAGGACCAGGAATCCCCTTACAAATTGAAGTGATAGCTTGTCATTTTTAACAGTTTTCCATGTACCACATTAAGGATTCATACATTTTTAATAGTTAAAAATTCTTTTCCAGTAGTTATAATCTTAACTTTAAGAAATAGTTATTAATTATCACAGTTCTGTTTTGCCAAGTTTATGGATGAAATACATACGTTATATTTGCTAGCATGTGCACTCTCTGAACAAGATCCATGCTGCATATATTGTCCTTTCAAACTTAAATATGTAAAATGTGGTTATTATATTTGTATATTAGGAGAAGATTTCTGCTCTCAAAAAGCAAGCCAATCATATCGTCCAGCAGTCGCAGAGGGAACAAGATCATTTTGTAAAAGAGAAGAATAACTTAATAATGATGCTGCAAAGAGTAAGTGTTTTCTTGTCTTTGTAGAATTTTTTTATATTGTTGTTTTTTAAAAAAACATCTAACTGTTACATGGAAGTTGGAAAGACAAAATTATCTCAACAGGCTTCTGTTTTCCAATAGCATTAAAAAAAAACACATTATTACCAGCCGGTTTCCTAACTAAAAATTGTAGTGGTGTTGTGTCTTATAAGAGGTTTTATAGAGATTACTCATAATGAACAAGGTCTTTGCATTAAAAATATAGTAAACGAAAGCTGTTCCTCTGTTTTAGGATTATGTATATATAAAATGCCAACATTTCATCCGTCTAAGGCTATCTGGGAATGTGCACAACCTCTGCACCTCCCAAACTATCAACATATAAAGGCCAGTAATTGGCCACAAAATCAGACTACTTGACATGACCAGCTTCTGGCTAATAAAATTCTAGAATGAAAAAATATATCTTTCTCCTGGGGCCTAAATTTTGGTTTAGACCACAAGGAGGAATCGGATTCTATTCTCTGAGAACACCTTGCTCTCATCTGTCTGCTGGAGACAGACCTCAAGAGCTTTCTGGTTTGACCACAACTATTGGCAAAGATTTTTAAAAGTGACTAGTGATTTTGGGTGCCTTTGTTTTTTTGTTTGTTTTGTTTTCCAACATGGTACACTTTAAAAAAGGGCCTGATTTTCAGAAAATTTGGAGCCCTCACCTCTCAAGTCAGGCTTCTTTACTGTGTCAAGAAACCCCAAAACTCAGACACCCCAAATCACCGGTCACTTTTTACAATCTTTGGCGATTGCGATAGGACATATAGGGTGTGATCCAAAGTTCACTGAAGCCAAAAGGAGTCTTTCTGTCAACTTCAGTGGGACGTAAAGTGTGGGACTGCTAGGTCTCAGGGCATTTGGAGCTTAAATCCCAGATGTGTGTTGGGAACTGTTGGAGAGTTTCAGTTCTGCTATAAATAAATAAAATAGAAACTGCTATTGCAGTTCTAGCCACACCACACAGTTTCCTTATAGCCTTTAAATAAATAACTGGCATTCATTTTAGGTGGATAAATATTCATTTCTGAAATAAACACAATGTCTATTCCTGACAGGAAAAAGAGAATCTTTGTAATCTGGAAAAGAAATACTCTGGACTTTCTGGAGGAAAAGGATTTCCTCTCCGTCCTAGCAGTCTAAAAGAGGTAAGCAGTGTTAACTGCTGTTTTCCTGAACCTCTGGTAAGCTTAATGTTTATTAACATTGTATGCAATAGTGATTTAGAGTTTGGCAAAACTTGTAAAATATGCAATGCATTGTTCATGTGATTTTCAATATTCTGTTCTTGCTATGATTAGGAAACTTAGCTGTATTACTTCTGGAAGTCCAAATTAAGCCAAAAAATAGCTTATCGGATGTTTTTCCCATTCATTAAACTTTTGCCCTGGATAAATTACCATTTTTCATTTGTTAGAGAATCTGTTTTTCTCTAAATAAATACTTGAACCTAACTCACATGAGGAAAGAGAGATCTAGAAACAGCTAAGGACAAGTGCGACTAAGTTACAGCGTTCTTGCTCTTATATTGTATATTTTACATTTTTTTTGTCACTGACTTCTCCTTTTTTGGGATAGAAAGAATCCATTATAAATGTTTATTTCAGCTTTTCATCATTTAAACACTGAGTTAAAGACTTTGAGCTATTGTAGCTCTATTTATTTAATCATTGTTGGCAGTCAAAAGGGAAGAGGGTCAAAAGTTTTGGGTGAGGTATTGAGTAAGTTAGGGGTAATGTGAAGGAAAACCTAGACCTTGCTGCACTTGTGAAGCTCCAAAGCTCTGAGGTTATCGTTGTGAGTCCTCACAACCCACACCTTTGAATTGGGTAAGGAGTCCGAGGGGAGCTGAGCCACAGTCCCTACTTTTTGTAGTGATCCAGCCAGTTCATATCTTAAATACATTGATTCAACATTGCTATCATCTTAACTCATCATAATGAAGTTTCTGTGTCTGTGGACTGCAGTTTGTTGTAAACAGAAAATCCTAGCATTTTGAATAAACTGTCAAATATCTAAGGCAGCTTCCTTAACTTAGAATCACACTTGAGTTTCCTGAATAACATCTGGCTTGAAATTAAGTGAATAAAATCCTCCATCTTCTAGTGTGTCTTTGCAATGCTTCTCCCTGCAGCCAAAATATTCTTTTGCTCATTCTTAAAGATCCCTTTTAAAAGCAGAAATACTGTAGCAATAAGTTGTAGCTGTTCTGATCATCTTAATTCCAAAAAAGGACATATTTTCATGTATTAATGAATCAGTGCAGTTTTATAACCATATTCCATTCTTTCACCTGTTCGTCTTAAAAGTGGTTCACTGTTTCATATTTTTTTTTAAATATATTTCTGCCTTCTTTTTATGACACTATTTCAGCAGTGACTTCCCTCCTTTAAAATGGCCGTTTTCCACAGCTCAAGAGTTGGGGCATTTGACTTATTTATAATCAACACATTGAAGTTGTATTTTATTTTTGAAGTGAATTTATTTGACAGCACTAGACACTGAATTTCTCTTGATATCAGAACATGTACACCAACTGTCCTGCCATTGTGCCTCGCCTCCAAGTGTAGCATAGTCTCCATACTTTTTCAGTCAGCCCTTGGCCCTCTTCATCTAAGATTGCTTATAGAGATTCAAATTGCAATGGCTACTTTTAAGATGTGGACTCTTGTCCATTAGGAATCAGACTGATACCCATCAGCATTTTATATGAACCTCCAAACAGCCATCAGATGGAAGCAACTTTTAGACACTGCTAATTTAAGCAACTATTATTAGAGTAATTTACAGAATAACACCACCATGTCATAATACCAATCCCATGAACCATCCGGTCCCCACAAATGTAGTTAAAAGGTGTATCAGGAAATAAATAGGAATGGGTTTTAAAAAAAAAAAAAAAAAGTGAAGAGAGGAAAATCCTAAGCATTAAACATCCACAAATAAGACTTTTGTTTTGGAGGAAATGCTAATGTTATGTTTAAAATCTAGGTGGTGGCTCTAGCTAAGTGGTTCAGATTTAAACATACTAAAACAAAAGAAGAAGCGCTGATGGCTATACTTTGATAAAGTGTCTTGCTTACTTACAGTTGGTTTGCCTTTTGGTAACACAAATGTATTTGGAATGACCAAAAACATTCTTCAAAATTAAAGTATTCAGTATTTTAAAAATATAATTGTTATTACTGTTTTAATGAAATATTTTGATAAGATCACAGATATTTGGCTGTATCACTCCAAACTAACCTTCATTGTACTGGATACATTAACACTCTTGCACGTCTTTTGGCTTTTACTCCTTTTTCGTGTTTAATTTCTGAATTCCTCCTTTTAGGGTTATATCAGTGTAAGTGAAATTAGTGAGCTGTATGGCAATTCCACGAATAGATCCCCTTCCACTCAGCCCCCCACAGATGCTGACGCTGTTGCCACTGAGCCTTCCACGGCTGTGCTGGCGAGCCAGCCACAAAATAAAGAGGTTTGTTTGAGAGACATTTCCCTTTGTTTACATCATTCTTTCACAGCTATTTTTTTTTAAATTTCTAGTGTAATAAGTTTAACCCTAAAACAAACTGTAGACTTAGCGATGAAGGGTCAGATGTTGGTCTGACAGAAAAGGCCAAAGGAATTCTCCAATTATAAAATGTGTTTGGTTTTGGATTTGGGACTTTAGAGGCTAAGAAGAATGCCCCTATCAGAAATCAGTGACATCATTGCCTTTCATATAGTAGGGGTAGCATGTCCTTTGGAAAAGTAGTCTCAGGTCATATAATATAATGATAATTTGTATGATGGAGGTGAAGTGTTGATTTCCTATCTTATTGTAGCTCATTTTTGTGGGGTGAATCTGTGCAGAAGTAATATCTATCTTTAATATTTTGGGTACAGATCGATACCTTCACTTTTCTTTGTTGTTCGAATCTGTTCTTTCTGGCCTTTTTTGCGCTGTGTCACTTTTTGCTCAATCTTTACATTGTTTAAAAAATAAACAAGCCTCTCTGTGTAAAAACGGAGTAACTTTATGATTAAAAAATTCCTATCTTTGTGCTGCTATAAACTTGTGCAATAAACTTGGTATTTAGCATTTTTACATTGCTTCAAATATTTAAATATTTATTTGACCAGTTCCAGCATAATATGTACTTTCATTCTAAACTCTCCCAATGAAATATTGTTATAAACTGCAGCTTGTGTGTGCCATGTGTATTGAGTAATTCCTAGTAGAAAACTCTGTGTGTAATTTCTCTCTTTCCTATAAAGCTAAGATCATCTCTCTGTTCTGGATTTGTGTTTCCTCACTCTCTTTCTCCTCGCTCTATTGCTCAACTTCCATCAGTCCATTGGCCTGAGGTCATGGTTACACATGTAGATCCTTTTCCTTTATCTGATACACCTCCTCCTCTTCCAGCTAAGAAACACCGCAGGCAACAACAGGTAACAAATTAAAAGCTGATCATCTTGGATTTTTTTTATGGTGGCAATGAAGTCATTTACACATGAATTTTTCATGTGACGTGATTATCTAAGAATCCATAATTGATTCAAACTTGCAGAGTTCTGTACTTAAAGGTTTTGCTGAATTTTTATGAATTATTACTGAGTGGTGTCGAATAAATAGTCTCTTCTTGATGGTGGTCTGTAAATGCGTTTAGTGATAGAGACATGCACAATGAGATGAGAAAAGATCTCATAATAGCCCGTGGCACTGTACATATTGTATGTCTGTTCACTTTTAAAACAAATGAATAACACAGTGGAAAATGCTGACACTTGAGAGCCATCTTAATTGTTGGAAGCTCTTGCAACAGTAAAGTGCAAGTCGTTAGATCTACAGTCAAATTTAAATGGAAGGTTTTCTATTACCTTCCAACAATGGACTCTCTAAAAATATATTGGCTTTAAACTACCAGTTCATTAGCATTTGGAGGGGTTTATTTTTCCTTTGCCTAATAGGATGCCACTTGTAAACTTAGGCTTTGTCTACACTACATAGCTTTTAGCGACATGGCCGTTAAAAGTTTGGCAGTGGCTGTTTGTCGGCACTTTTACAAAATACTTCCCTCCCCTATGAGCGGGGCTTGTTTGTTAGTCTCTAAGGTGCCACAAGTACTCCTGTTCTTTCAACAGGAGAGTGCTCCTGCCGATAACGAGCTGCTTACACTGCCACTTGCTGTGGCAAAACTTTTGTCTTTCAGGTGGGGGCTTTTTTAAGCACCTGTGAACGACAAAAGTTTTGTCCTTCAATTGGCTATGTAGGCAAAGCCTTAGACTCCTTGTGTTTTTAAAACAATAATTGGGTGCAGGGCCAACAACGTGTTCCTGTTCTTACAATGTTTTCTTAATCAACAGGCAGTGCTGATGTAAAATTACAGGCCCATTTTTATGTACAGTAATATTCAGTTGCAAATTGGTGATGATTTAACATTAAGCTTTACTTTCTGTTTATGAAATATTTTTCATTCGATGTGTGTGATATCCTACATTTTTGAGAGCTTTGTTTAAGATGAATCTCTTAACAACTCACCAGTATGGAAACAAATTTTTAATTTTAAGGGTATGAAGAATTAAAACTGTTGTTTATTTCTAAAATAATCCCCGTGTCATTAATTTGGTCCACAATCTCCATAAAAAGAAATATGTTACAAGTTCCATTTCTATGTCCCATTGAATCTTGGAAATCACACCACTTTTATTTGGCCATTTATATGTCATAACTAGCAGAACTCATTAATGATAAATGCTTAAATGGGAACCCTAAGCACAGCACAAGCTTCAGAGAATCCTTAATGCTATTGTAAATTGAGAATAGTTGATAATTTTTATCTTTGGAGACAATTGGTTACTATTTTACCATACACCATATAATTTTTATGACTAGTAATATATTTTTAGTACTGCAGTAGCCTTTAAAAAAACAGCAACAAATTCTGGACAAGATGTAAAACAGAATATTTAGCTTTAAAATGAGACACGTTCTTTACAGTGAAATTTTGAGACTATAGATTTCATTATATTCTGTGTGGAACATAATTTACCAAACAGTTCAATTCATTTTGTCAAAACAGTGTTGCAAATTATATTTTAAGCACTTTAGAAATCTGGAAGAAAGAAAGAAACAGCACAAGGAGGGCACGTATTTGAGTGATACTCTACCCCGCAAGAAAACCACTTCTTCTGTATCGCCACACTTCAGTAGCGCTACTCTCGGACGAAATGTTACTCCTAAAGTAAGTAATATGCCTATATATAGTTTTTCCATTTCTGTAGTCCCACATGAAAAGTTAAGGAGTTAAGGTTGAGTAACGTAAGGATGTTGTAATTATCCCAAAAGTAAGGCTATGTCTACACTCTAAAACACTCTGCAACTGTTCCGCTGTAGAGCTTCAGTGTAGACACTTAGTACAGTGATAGAAGGGATCCTCCCATCTGCGTAGATAATCCATGTCCCCAAGAGGTGGTAACTGGGTTGACAGAAGAATTCTTCCATCGTCCTAGTGCTCTCGACCCCGGGTGTTAAGTCAACTTAACTATGTCTCCCAGGACAGTGGCTTTTTCGTACCTTGAGAGACATAGGGTACGTCTTCACTACCCGCCAGATCGGCGGGTAGTAATCGATCTATCGGGGATCGATTTATCGCGTCTCGTCTAGACGTGATAAATCGATCCCCGAACGCGCTCCCTGTCGACTCCGGAACTCCACCAGAGCGAGAGGTGGTAGCGGAGTTGACGGGGGAGCCGTGGCCGTCGATCCCGCACCGTGAGGACCCAAGGTAAATCGATCTAAGATACTTTGACTTCAGCTACGCTATTCATGTAGCTGAAGTTGCGTATCTGAGATCGATCCCCCCCCCCCCCCCGTGTAGACCAGCCCATAGCCATGCCAATGTAACTTTTCAGTGTAGATAAACCCTAGATGTTACAAACCAGTAAATTCAGAGTTAAACTTAAAGGAAATCCAAACATGTTAAGATAGGAAAAGGCACCAAAACAACCTTAATTCAAACCTGTAGTGATGTCATGCAATAACAGTTAATTTATGATTACTATATAATAGTGGTTGCAATTCCAGATTAGAGTAAACTGATTTTTAAAGAAACATTTAGAGTTCTGATTTTTCTTTTCCTCTTGGTGTTACTAGAAGGTGGAGATGAAACTGAAAATTGTATCTAGATTGTGGCACCATGAATCATTGTAGAGCAACCAAGAGCCTTCATGTGATTTTAGGAGGAGAAGATACTTGAAAATATTTCAGAAATTGAGAACATGTACAACTAAAGTAGCTTATAGCTGATACTTTGTCATGAAATCCATATGAGGTATTAGTTTTGTCCGGAATTGCTGACTGACAAAGTTGTAAGGTGTGCAGTTTGTAAATAGCTGTTCACAAAATTTCATGCAGGGTCATTTACCACTAGGACAGAGCAACAGCTGTGGCAGTGTACTTCCTCACTGTCTGGCAACCATAACCAAAGAGTCCGAATCAAGAAGAATGCATAAAGGTAAAGTTATTTTAAAACACTTACTTTCTAGTCATGGGTATCTAATGTTCATTCTTCTGGAAAGTAAATTCCAAATCAGTGTACTTATAATCTACAGAGTTTACGTTAGGGCTTTGAAATAATATTTTTCCTTTCAATATGAAAATAGAAAGCTGCATATACTTCATGTATACTTCATGAACTACGTGTTCAGACTTCAGCAAAAGACGATGTTAAAGATGTATGGTATTAAGCTTTATTGCAGGAGCACAGGCAATGGCTCCTTGACATTTCCCATTTCAATTTAAAAGTACATAATTTTCACATATGCCGTAGTAAACAAAAAAAGTGCATTGAAGAATATGTATTGGGTAAACTGGTTAACTCCAACTAACTTGAGTGGGGTTTTTTGGGGGGTTTTTTTTGAGACAACTTATTAAAGATAGGGTGTGTGTGTGTGTTTAGAAACATTATCTAATGTAGGGTGACCAGACATCCCGATAAAATCTCTGGTCGGGACGCAATTTGTCCTGATATTTTGCTCCGCCGGCGGTTTTTTTTTTACTTCGCCAGCAGCAGGCAGCACTTGGCTTTTTTTTTTTTTTTTTGCTCCACCGGCAGCACTCGGCTCCCCCCCTCCCTCCCCGCCCCAGGTCCCGATTTTCTTCCTCTGATCTGGTCACCCTAATCTAATGCCTTGATCTTGTAAATTACTCTTCATGGGCAGATACTTTTGCCAGGGTGGAATAATCAGGGTTTATGATTGTCCCTTAAAGAAGAAGATTTATAACAGAGTACAGTTTATTTTAATTTATCATAGATGTGTGTGCCTAAAAATATTGATTGTTGTAGCTTTGCTGGTGCAACTCTGAAATAAGGACATGACCATCTGCATTCAATGTACAGTACTGCTGTGAAACATGTCCCTGCAAGCCTTGGGGTTCTGTTTATTTTCATTCGTGCTCAATTTTTTAAGTAAAAATATGTTTGATTCTGTCAACTCTGCAAACTCAACTGTTTCTGAGATCTGAGAATCAATATCTGTTCTTTCTGGTATGTGCATCATTTCCAAAAATAAATATTCTACTGTAGAAATTTAATTTACAATTGTGTTAATTATGCATTAGCCAAAATAGAATTCATACTACTTTTCCATCATAGTTTCCCATATCTGTGTTGGCTATTCAGGGCTAACAAGTGTTAAAAGCATTATTGTAGTCTAAGAAGATGCTTATAGTCAGCCAAATCAACAGAGGTGACTGAACACACATGGAGCAGATTTGCTGAGTAAAATTGCACCATTTTTACATAGTCACCTTACAGAATTGAACCACAGTTGTGGGTTTGCCTCTTAGGGTTCAGTAATCTGGAGGGCCTTGCACAAACTTTCTGTATTTTTTGTTTTGTTTTGTTACTTCCACCCTGAAGTATTTCAGAAGCAGACACAAAAACAGCTTAATTGTCAGCCTGGAAAGCTTCTCCGTTGTGTATTTTGCAATACAAGATAGCTTACAAATGCACCCAGACATAATATTTGCTATTTTTTGTGACATAATTTGTTTGCTTTGGCTTACAAAACATAAGAGACAAATATTAAGCAATTCTTTTAAGTTAGACTATCACAATCTTTTAAAATAGGAATGATTTTTGCAAAGTTATTTCAAGACTGCATTTAGAGTAGGTGATGTGAAACAACTGTGAATAGTTAAAGGCTTTTTTACAAATTGAAGACGCTGGCTATTATGGGAAGGATAGACCCACTAATTTTGAAATTCCTTGCCCACCTTTTATGTTGCAAACTCTGCCAATCAAATTTCTTTTGTCAGAATGCAACCAAACTATGATATGTGTGCCATACGAACAATTGCCTAATACATAGATCAAGAAAATGCTGAGAGAATGGGGAAGAGAATCAGTGAAATTAGTCAGTATAGTAGAGGTGTAGACTAAAAATATATAGTCTAATTCAAGACTGAATAAGCAGATGGAGAATACAAAAAAGAGGTATATTTGATTCTGTGCAAGGTGCTTTTTTCGATGCCATCTGGAATAATACGTGCTATGGTGATTGCCATATCACAGGAAGATAATTATTGCCTTAAAAGAGGCAGCAGAGAGGATAACTGTGTGAAGACACTAAATTATGAAAAGAGGTTTAGGGGATTGGGTTTATTCTCATTGGGAAAGAGGAAATTTCTTGATGGCCTAATTTGAAATGTTGAGGCACTATAAAGCTGTTGAGAGATGCTTTGCTTGCACTCACACAGGTTTTAAAAAGTGGGAGATATAATTAAAACTGAGGGGATCTAGGAATAAATGCAAAAAAACAGGCAGAACTGTCTCTGCTTCACTCTCCTTCCTTAGTGATATTTTTAATGTTTATTACCTTTTTGCTCAGATTTATTTTTTTGGAAGGAGTTTGAAGGATATAATTGCTTTTTTCTGTTCCTAAATTGTCTTACGGTTTGGGGAAAGTCCTTTAATATCACAAATCGGCAACTAAATTGTTTGCAGAAACTTTTCTTTAGACAATTTGTTAAATACTCCTGTATGTTGAACAAATCAGTGAAGAAATACAAAAATTCATCGTCAAACAAGCATTCGGTGTGTGGAAACCTGAGGGGCAAGTTCTAACACCTTTAAAAACAGGCACAAACAGGGCTCCTATGGAATTTAGTGGGGAGGCCTATACCGTGAATATAATTTAGCCCATTCAGTAGAACTTACGTTCTCTTTAATAGTATCAATGGAGAATGTGTGTTGCCTTAGAATAGTGAAAATTGGGTAAAAAAAATCACTCATGTCCTAAGATTTAAACATAATTTTTAATTTAGTTTAATTATTTGTTATTAAGGACAGGTCAAATTCTGTTCTCGAATATGGCTCCCATTGATTCAGTGGAAGATAGATTTATGTAACCAAGGCCCAAGTTCTGCATAACTTCACAAACACAGTTGAGAATGAAGACAAATCAGGTGTGAGCAGAAGTTAAATTTATTCTTCTTTCTTTCCTAAGTCCTGACAACTATATGATTTCCTTTCCTTACTATCATCCCTTTATTTCTTTGCCAGCTCTCCTCGTATATAAAAACATAATTCATCAGAAAGATAAGCTTGGCCTTTCGACTAAAAACAAGTGTAACAGCTGTTGAGTATCTGGGAAAGTTATATGCTGCTCTTGTAGGGGGATTGATATGTTGATCTTGTACATCTTTCCCATTTCTCTTAATAACACTGAACCACCAGAAAAGATTAACTTGAGAGAAGGGAAGATTCTTGTACAGCCCAACACAGAGGGCAGGCTTATATAGTGGTATATAGGCTTGTGATATATAGACATTTGTGAGAACCAAAATATAGCTGTTGTCTAATTTTAGATCCGGCAAATGATGTCACCCCTCCTGGTTTACATGATCCTGCATTGTGCTACAGGACTTCACAATTGTTTGTTCAGTATATTGTGTGGCTTTGCAGAGATAAGTAGTTTGTTTTTTTCCCCAATAAATAAAGAATAGGTATAAATATTACCTGTTTGTTCAGCTTAAGTGGACAGATCAAGCGAACACATGTATAAAATTCTTTAGACATGTTAAAACAATAAAATCATGTATTAATCTTTAATATCCCCTACACTTCCCCCAGAAAGCTCATTTTGTTAGTACAGCATATGTAAAAAGTAGATTCTAAACATTGTAAACTCGTGATGCATACTAAAACATCACTTATTTCACTTGCCTTCTCTCCGACAGTTGACAGGCTTGACGCTCCAGTGGGTTTCTGCGCTGAAAGTGATGTGTTGTGGGTGACATGATAGTCCCAGTTTATTGCTTCCAAAAGCATGCACAAGCCCATTGAATTTATTGGCATTATATATGCTTATGACAGTGGTGAATTATAGTTTTGTATGATGAATGCCTTTTTATCCTTACTATTTGGAGCATATACCATAAACATAGCACGGTGTCACATCAACTGCAATATTAAATAGAGTTGAAGTGCTGCTCAGGTGTTAACGGTGTTTCCAGTGGCTTACAAGCTTTCTTGGGGCTGAAATTATTAGGCCAGAGATATCTGTGTGTGCATATGTATAATTCTGTAGAAAGTTATTCAGCTGTCTCTGGAGGAATTGACAGTTAAGATAATTCAGAAATGTTTTTCTAAAGTAGTATTAAATTAAATACTCCTAAAATTTTTTTCTCTAATTTTCTCTCCAATTTCTACTTCACTTACCCCAAAAACATAAATTTGAAAATCCAAGAAAGTAAAATATAAATTTAAAGATAAATATTTTAATTTCACCAAAGTCAGGAAATGGAGCATTTTCAAATCCACTTCAATTTGACCATGTTGTGCATATTCATTAAGCTATATGGCTTTATGCAGGAATAGAAAACACAACAGATAGGCAAGGGGACTGACTTAAATTTCATGTGGGAACTGCAGCTTTGCATATCTTGATTCTGGGGCAGTTGATGCCTCATCTGCAAATAAATTTAAGACCAGGTGACGATGGTTTTCATTTGGAAGTATTTTCACAGATCCATTCATACTAAATGGACTTAATTGCAAAGACTATCAAAAATGTGAGTGACAAGTAACCTGATTTAAAAAACTAGACCTCACAAGGAAATAACTAAGGCCTTGTCTACACTGGCGAGTTTCTGCACAGTAAAGCAGCTTTCTGCGTTGTAACTCCTGAGGTGTGTACACACTGCCAAGCCACTTAGTGCGCAGAAACTGTAAAAAAAAAAAACCACCCCAACGAGAGGTGTACAGCTTTCTGCACCGGGGTACAGCACCGTGGTGCCAGTGTAGACACCCTGGTCAATTACAGTGCTGCGATTGGCCTCCAGGAGGTGTCCCACAATACCTGTTCTCGCCTCTCTGGTCATCGGTTTGAACTCTACTGCCCTGCCCTCAAGTGACCAACATCCTTAAATTACTTGGGAATTTTGAAAGTCCCCTTCTTGTTTGCTCAGTGACACATGCAGTGGTCTCAGTGCATCTTTCCAGGTGACCAAGCCTGGTTCATGCACGATCCCCCACTTGGCACAATGCCGAGCTGCTGGATCGCATCAGCTGCCTGTTCTACAAAGAGCTGACCGCGATACTCGGTGGCAACCCCACCTACACTGCGAAGGCCCCTGTGGCTACTTCGTTGGCTCATGTGCCAGTCAAGAATGGACCGAGCCAGGAGGAGGAAATCTTGGACAAGGATGTGGAGGGGGAGGGGGGACCCAGAGGCAGAGGATGACTCGGAGGCCAGAGATGCACGCAGTCAGGAGCTTTTTTCTACCCCGGATGACCCTAGCCAGTCACAGCTATCGGAGATTGGCGAAGCGCAAACAGGAGAGGAGGCCCCTGGTAAGTGGATCTGATTTTGGGAATCGCTGAAGCAAGTTGTTGGGGGTAGGAGGGTTGCAGAAAGCAGGCTTGTCTCCCACTGCATGCTTAGTCTGAGCGGCGGAATAGGCTGTTGATTGACTCCCTCACTTCACGGGAATCTCCCTCCGAGATCTCCAGGAAACTCTCATGGAGATACTGGGAAATCCGCTGACACGGGTTCTTTGGCAGAGCTGCTTTGTTTCTTGCCCCATTAAGGGTAACTTTCCCGTGCCACTGTGCCATCACTGGGGGGCCAGGGCGGACGCTGCAGTCTTGGAGAAGACCCTCCCTTGATTCCCTGCTCACCTTCAGCAGTGAAATATCTTTCATAGTGTGGACAATGTGCCTGTGGAAAATGTGGGGACAGTAATGATTATAAGGCTTCCCCTACAATGCTGGCTCTCCCCAAGAGCCACGTGCCCAATGTACAGTACGGTCCTGGAACACTGATTTCTCCTGCCCCTGCAGTTACTCACCATTTTGGGGGTCTTGTGGCTCATGTGTGCTTGCCTGGGGTCAGCCAGTTAGGGACAGGCATGTGAATAGTGGCTGTGTTTTAAATCAGTGGTATGTGTGTTGCAAACAATACTGCTTCTGTAAAGTGTTGCATTTTGGCTTCATAGATATGACCTTGGAACCCAGCCTCCCTCTTTGTTATCTCTGGCTAAACAGCTGCGCAGAATTAGAAAGCAGCCATGAAGAACTAAAGAGGACTTTCTGTGTGATGTCATGATGCACTCCATGGCCAAAAAACAAGAATTGAAGGAGTGGCAGGACAGCGAAAAGAGGGACCGAAAGGAGAACGCGGCACGCCAGAACAAAGCCACAGAGTGGCTCTTAAACGTTATGGAGCGCCAAGCAGACACACTCCAGGTGCTACTAGCACTGCAAACCGCACCCGCCCTCCCCTGAAGCCACTGTCACAAAACTCTTTCCTATGTGCCCCCCAGACACCGCCAACACACTCTTATCAATCTGCTGGCTCCAGTCTGTACCCGCTGCATTCCATTCCTCCCCCCCTCACAGTCCAGCCCTGCGGACTCCAAGTACCCACTTCACTCAACACCCGTTCCTCTGCAGTTTAGCCCTGCTGAAGTACAGTACCCGCTGCACTGTACTCCAAAGGAGAAGGTTGGATATGATATCTGAACATACACAAATCTTTAACCATCCCGGGACCCCACCTCCTCCTAGGAACCTCCTTTCCCCCATCCCCCTCAGTGCTGATGTGTTTTTTTGTTTGTCTCTCTCCTCTGATTGTTGGTTTTTAATAAAATAATTGTTTTGGTTTGAAAGCAATCTTTATTCCATTAATTGAAAGCAATCAGAGCCCTGCAAAGTAACAGGCAGTTTTCTTATACCTTCATAGTGCATCGTCTGCACCAATCACAATCACCTCCTAGCATTACAAGCACTCTACTCCCGAGCATAGCAACAAATATTAGTGGCTTTCAGCTTCAAATTGCTGCCCCAAGGCATCCCTGATCCTTATGGCCCCACGCTGTGCCTCTCTAATAGCCCTGGTCTCTGGCTGTTCAAATTCAGCCTCCAGGCACTGAGCCTCAGTTGTCCAGCCCTGAGTGAAGCTTTCACCCTTCCCTTCACAAATATTATGGAGCATACAGCACATGGCTATAAGCATAGGAATATTGTCATCAGCCAGGTCCAGCTGCCCATATAGGCAGCTCCAGCAGGCCTTTAAACGGCCAAAAGCACACTCAACAGTCATTCTGCACTTGCTCAGCCTGTTGACAGCAGCAAGGAGCGGTTCAACAAGATACCCTGTGTATGGCTTCATAAGCCACAGCATTAAGAAGTAGGCAGGGTCTCCCAGGATCACAGTGGGCATTTCGACTTCCCCTACGGTGATCTTCTGGTCCAGGAAGAAAGTCCCTGCAGGCCAGTGTTCCGAAAGATGCATGCGTCATGCACCTTTCCGGACCAGCCTGCGTTAATGTCGTGAAACACCCATGGTGATCCACAAGTGCCTGGAGAACCATTGAGAAATACCCCTTCTGATTATTGTACTCGGTGGCTAGGTGGTCTGGTGCCAGAACTGTAATATTCAATGCCATCTATCGCCCCTCTGCAGTTAGGGAAGCCCATTTGTGCAAAGCCATCCACAATGTCACACACATTGCCCAGAGCCACGGTCTTTTGGAGCAGGATGCGATTAATGGTCCAGCAGACTTCCGTCAACACAAGTCCAACGGTCGACTTTCCCCACTCAGAACTGGTTAGTGACCAATCAGTCTGGAGTAGCCAGCTTCCACAATGCAGTCGCCATGCGTTTCTCCAGTGACAGGGCAGCTCTCATTCTCATGTCCTTGCGCTGCAGGGCTGGGGCGAGCTCATCACACAGTCCCATGAATGTGGCTTTCCTCATCCGAAAGTTCTGCAGCCACTGCTCGTCATCCCAGACACACATGACAATGTGATCTTACCACTCAGTCCTTGTTTCCCAAGCCCAAAAGCTGCGTTCCACTGTAGTCAGCACCTCCGTGAATGCCACAAGCAATCTCATGTCGTAGCTACTACGCGTGGCGAGATCAATGTCGCACTCCTCTTGCCTTTGAAGTTTAAGGAATAACTCCACTGTCACTTGTGATGTGTTAGTCAGAGCAAGCAGCATATTTGTCAACAGTGCGGGATCCACTGCTGCAAACCAAAGAGGCAGAGCGCGCAGAACACAAACTGTTCAGAGATGGTGCCAAATGTGGATGGGAGCACAGTGATTGATGGGATGTGAAGCAATGCATCATGGGGCACTGGGACAGGACCCAGGATGCCCTGCGACCCACTCTGTCTTCTCGCAACTCTTAGCGGCAGAAGAGAAAGAGGTGCTCTGTGGCATAGCTACCCAGAGTGCACTGCTCCGAATACCGCTGCAAGTGCCGCAAATGTGAACACGCTATTGCACAGGCAGCTGACAGTGTGAACACACAACAGCCGTTTCTCTTCAGCGCTCTCTGTGCAGCGCTGTAACTGCCGGTGCTGTAACTCTGTCAGTGTAGACATACCCTAATACTATTTTAGCTAATAATTATCTGAGTTAAGAGCAGTTTGTCACATGTTAAATATCTTTGGCATAAACCATTAACTGAAAAATTGTTTCTTAGCTGTCATTCTTGATGGATTTCTCAAGGATTGTGGTGTAAGTACAATTCTGGCATATATAGAATTGATTTAAGAGCTACCACTAGATAAATGAGACATCCTGTTTAAACTAAGATGTCTACAAGTAAAGGTGATTTTAAAGTTCAGCCATCTAAAGAGGAGGAGAAAGTGATTGTTCTGAGGAAAAATTGGGCTCAGGTGAATGCTTGGGCCTGTGCAAATTCAGTGGGACTCCATGCATGTGTACAGTTTAGCCTGTGTATATTGGGTAGCATGGCTAAAGAGCCATTAAAGTAGGAATGTGAGACTTGTCCAAGTAATTAAATCTAACCAATCTATGTAGTGGTCTCCTAAAGGAAGTAGTAGAAACTGCACTGCTCATGAGTTAAAAAAAAACAAGAAAAGACAAAGCACTGGAAAACATGCTGCGTAGAGAGCACTCATCACCAGCTGCCAAGATAATGAAGGTGGTCTTTTTCATCTCTAATTTCTACTGTGTCAGTTTGCCACTCAGAACGTTGTATATACAATTTATACGTAGTTTAAGCACTCTTAGGACATGACTAAGCAAGCTCTTGGGACACGACTTATTCTACTTTAGAATAATGGGCACTAATTAAAAAAATGAAAAAACTTCTTAAATGGATACAATATGATTTTTTTTATTCTTCTTCTTATCAAACTTAGGAAAATCCAAAAAAGGTATGAGAACACCCTTTTATCTGTCTGTGTGTGTATCCCTGAGGTGTTTTGCTGAAGTCACAGATTAAAGTGATACTGTCAAGTAGTTCAGGACCAAAATCTGTGTAAATTTTCAAGTTGTTGAAATGTAGTGCAGAGCCTTCTACAGATTCCCACTTCTTTTAAAAATAACTTTTCAAAATAAACTCACAACTCTAGCACTGGTAGCTAAAAAGTTCTCATACCTGCAGAGCCGCTGCCTGTGCATTATCCTAATGTTTTTGCTCTGTGCCTCAGAACCAAACAAGGGGAGCACAAATAACAGAACTATGTTCACACAGCTGGGCTGATTTATGTTTGATGACAGGAAAGTAAAGCCAACAGTTCTATTCTGGTATATGCTCCATACAAAAATGGGTTCAGAGGCTGAGATGTTTGCATACATACAAACAAAAAATAGGAAAAGAGATATTTTTAACCTTCTAAGAAGATAAAGGAAACGAAGAGAGTTTTTTAAAAGATCAGTTATTAAAAATACTTGACAGTGTCTCTTTTGAAAGCAGCTTGAGTTAATAGCTGTGACCTCACACTTATTCAATGTTACTAGACTTGTGGCTCTATAACAACTGTTGGTCTTGGTGTTTAATGAGCTGGTTTTGTTGTTGCATATGCATTCTTTGACTTAACTACGCAGTTACTAAAATTATTTTGTTTTGTTCTTATTACTTTAAAAAAAATCCTTAATCTTGTTCTTTTGTTAAATAATTAAATAATAAGCTTGAGGTCCTTATTACTCCCTTGTCAGAGGCTATTTTATTTTCTTTGGTTATCATCCTGACTTCAATATTGGGAGGGCGGGGGGGCGGAAGAGGGAGACATACCTGGAGTATATCTGTTCACAGAAAGATTCTGGATGATAAGCAGTAAAGGGCTGTAATGGACATAGGTAGGTTGTATTTTGGTGCCATTGGAAAGCTGATGCTGAGCTATGTTAGGACTGGGACTAAAGCAAACTGCCTGTCTCCTAAGGCACAAAAAGAAAAGGGGAACATGGTATTATATTTTCTGCAGCTGAACACATGACCTACATACTGTACTTAGAAAGAGATATAGTTTGTCATTGAGTTATATTGGCATAAATTCAATTGAAGGAGCAATATTTTTTTAATTATTATAATAGTGCAATTTCTCTTCACAGGAAATGATACTCTGCTTATTTCAATGTGTGTTCATAGTTGTAAATTATCCTTTTTGCTGCATGGCATTTTAAAATAATGTTGTGAGTTTTCATACCCTTCATGAATCTTACATTCTTTCTGTGTGTGAAGAGAGTGGAAGATAACCATCGGTGACAGAAAGTATTCTCACAAGAACAGTTTAAAATCCTTTCCTTTCACAATAATCAAGATTCAAATGTTTCACTGTATGTTTTATATTCAGGATATAAAAAAATAGGGTTCATTTTTTCCAGTGAAATATGGGAAATGTTTCATATTTAAAGTAAAATTAAGGGTATTTTTTAGTAATCTATATTAGTAAACTAGGACTCTCTAAAAATATACCCATTAGAATAATATTTCTCCTTTCAGTAATTTCTGTTTCCTTCTCTTTACATAATGAATAATTGAAAACCCTTTTAAAGGAGCAATTAATCATTCCAAAGGTACAAGTATTAAAGGTAATTTTATCAAATGTTGGAAATATCATCATTTGTCATAATAATTATTAAAAACAAACTACACATACAAATCTGTAACATGTTATAGAAACTGCATTACATGGTGTTTATTATTATCCATCAAAGCTGAAGTATGTGTGTGTCAATTTTTCTCCTCCACTAACTAGTTCAGTTGAACTTCCAATGAAATCTAATCTCTTCTTGAATGACAAGTACAATGCTATTGGCATCTTGGAAATCAGCTTTAATTGTATATAGGAAAACATTCAGTAGCTGACTGGAATGGGGAAATAATGTATGTTGTCTTCGAGATGTGTGGAGTGCATGCTTTCCTTAATAAAGTAATGCCATTTATGATTTGGTGTGAGCTATGCACTATTCATATACATTTTTGAGAATCCTGTAGCTTTTTTTTTTTTATGAAGCTCAAGTGACAATAATTTGCTCTCTAAAATGGAATTCTGCTAACTGTCATGCCAGAGAAACGATCCTAGAACCAAACCAACTCACATGCAGGTACAATACCAGAGGAAGAAGGCCTATTACTAAAAATTACTGTGGAAAATATTCCCAATTCGTATTTCTCAAGTCATTAATAATGGTGACTAATAAAAAATGTATAAAATATGATGTGGCAAAATCCCCAGAAAAATTATTATCTGGATTAATATATGTGAATCAGTAGATTGTTTCTTGATTCAGGAGAGATTTTAGTATCTTACAATTGGTGCTGTTCATCTCCTGGTCTAACGCATGTTCATATTTTATCACAGGTTTATGCACAATGTAGTCTGAAGTATTTAAGAATCAAAGTGCAAGCAGCTCTTTCTTTGTTTCAAACAGAATGTGATCTGTGACCCAATATGGACAATATAATACTTTAATACAAGCATTAAAAGGGATTTTATAGAATATCTTTATGCACCGAACTGGCAGCCTCCTTTACACCTCCTTCTTATGAATCAAAGGCTTATCTATATGGTGCGGCTACGTGCATTAGAATTCTAAAGCACACCAACATGCTGCGCACTTAACTGCTCCGTGAAGATCTTCCTGGTATGCATTAAAGTTCCCTAGTTTGTGTTAAATGTAGTAATGAAGTGTTATCTTAATGTGCAGTAGGGTACTTTTAGTTCATGCCAGCTGGGTCTCCATGGGCCAGTTAGTGTGCAATACATTGCTGCACTTTAGAATTCACACCCCTGTAGAGTGCATTGCCATATAATGTAGACAAGCCCCTAGATTGCATGAACATGATCTCTTGCACTCTGTATAAATACTGCAGCTTTATTTACAAAAGTTTTCAAAATTATTTGGTTAAAACTAAAACAGACTAAATGTCTGCGTCCAAGAAGGCAAATGCTTTAACTGAGTAATTCCAATCCACCCATGTGATTTACACAATCATGATCATTTAACCTGACTTTTTTTTTTTTTTAAATAAGCATTACAAATGGTTTGCTTACATGGGGCAAGAACTAAGATTTTTATTTGCGTGCTTACCATCTGTACATGCTTGACGGATGCTCACAGGAAGCAGGAACTACTTGTGATTTTGTAGTGGTATTTAAAACAAAAAAAAAACATTCACACAAAAAGAAGTATTTCATGAGGCTATTGGGCTACAAAAGTCTCTGTTTCAGTCTTGTAAGGGGAATCTCAAGTAGTACAAGTAAGTTTTAGGGAGATACCTTAGTAACGTGAATCAGGATTAGTTAAAGGATATGCTCTTTATTTTCAGCATATAAACTAAAGGCCTGATCTGCAGTTGCCATTAAGGCCAAAACAAAATTTGACTTTAGTGGGAGCTGCAGGTATTTGGCACACCTGAAAATCAGGGCATTTTAATTAGGTGGTGATTTAGATGCCTAACTTTAGCTACTCTGTGTCACAGTTTCAGGGTTTATAGCCCCGAGGGTTGCCAGCCCTCCACGATTGTCCTGAAGTCTCCAGGAATTAAAGATTAATCTTTAATTAAACATTATGTTGTGATGAAACCTCCAGGAATACATCCAACCAAAATTGGCAACCCTAAATCCACCCCACCCTAGCCCGTGGTTCACTCCAGGAATGCCAAGTCAGTTCTCAGGCCTCTATCTGTCACCAGTGTCTGGGTGGGGACCTATGTCTCACTCCCTTCTGACTGGCAGTTATAAGGCTTCACAGCCCCTGTCATACCCGGTGATACCCCAGCAAGCCCATCTGCCTAATGGCCAGCACCTGTGCGTTGCTTTCTCTCCGAGGGCTATGAACTGCATATTGCCAGCAGTTACAAGTTACTGCACAGCTCTTTCTATGCAAGCACATTTATTCTTATGATAAAAGCATTACAGAGACCCCATAATAAAAACAATAAACAGATCTACCTGCTTATTGAATGTACCCGAAATTGCCCATTAATCCTCCGGGGCCCTGGTAGGCCAAAGTCTTTCAAACCCTTCAGCAAGGGTTGGAGGTGTCCTCTGTCCCCTCCTGCCTATTTGCTGAATCAAAAGAAAGACACAAATCTGTTTAAACTCTACTTTTAATGCCACAAGCCCTTTCTTCGTTTGAATCTCTGGAAAACCCAGCTTGAATCAGTATATGCAAACCACCCCAGAGGCTGGTACCTCTCTGGAGCTGTTTACAGTCTCAGCAGCCCACCTTAGCACTCACCACTCTTTTTAGTTCTTGGAGGAGCTATGGTAACCGTCTTCCATGGAGCAGTACATATATAACTGTTCATAAATTTAATACAATAGACCCCAAAGGTCCTTTATGGGGTGGCAATATCTGTCACACCTTAGTTTTAAGTTTTGGGCCTAGGTTTTGCACCTTTGTTTCCGTAATTCACATACAAAAAATAAATATTAAAAAAAAATTGTTTGAGAGTTGATGAAGTTTAGCCAATAAACTAATCCCACAAGTGATGAAAGTGAATTCCTTGGTGTCAGTCACAAGCAAATCCAGTTTTCATAAATCTTCTGTTTGTTTATGATTATTCTATTAAATTCTTTAGAACACTACTACTTTGGTCACAGTGCAATTTTAGATTGAGATGGTGTTCAAAATGCTTCTGCAGCTATTTATAAACATTTAATTTTTAGTTCAGAGAATTTTACCTCTAAAAATTAGGTAAGCTTACTTTTCTTTTCTTTGATTGCACTCTGTAGGGTATAATCATCAACACATATGTGAAGAACAAAGGCAGAAATCTCCTGAATTCTACAGCAGAACTGCATCTGAATCTAACGTGTATCTGAATAGTTTCCATTATCCTGATCATAGCTACAAGGACTATGCATTTGATACATTAAGCTTAGACAGTTCTGACAGTATGGAGACCAGCATATCTGCATGCTCCCCTGATAATATTTCCAGGTAAATGTTAACGTCTCATATTTTTTTCTTAATGGAAACTGTTAGAACAAGTTGTAAACATTGAAGCTGTATATCCCTAGGGCAATGGAAACATATTACTTCTCTTTAAGGTGAGAAAGAGAAGATAGAAGCTTTTACTAACTGGATAAGAAAATCTGCAAGAATTGGACAGAAATATTATTTAGCATTTGGATACTGTTTTTCATCTTCAAATCAATTTAACTAATTCTCATCTCATCCCTGAGTTTTGCAGATGGGAAATTAAAGTATGGAGAGGTTAAGTAATTACTCATTTAAGGTCACACAGAGAATCAGTGTCACAGCTGGGATTAAACCTATAGAGGAGTTGACTTTCTGCATGTTTTAGTGGATTTGGCATAAAACTGCCTGTCTGATCACTGTAGACTTCTTACGTAGGATATTCATTGTCAAGTCCATGATCCAGCAACTAAGTTTACTCTCTGTCTGTATCTAAGATGTTACCTCATTAGGGGCTTGAACTGCTGAACTTTTTGGATCTCTTGCTAATAATGCTAGCAATCTAGTCTCCTGTCTCCAAATCAGAATTTAAAAAGAGTTCTTGGTTCCCAACCATGGGCCCTGATCTCTAGGCTATGCTTCTCTTATTTTAGGATCTTATCAATTTAACCACTAAAGATAAAAGTAATGTCCTGTATTTATTTAAAAACAAAAATGCACAGAAGCTGGGGTCTGAAAAGAGTACGTTGACAACCCTTTCTTCTCTGACTATCCCATTGTCATGATAGCACTTTGATTTCTGCCAAATCCCCGTTTGGGTAGTTTGGGAAAGCATGGGAATCCTGTCACAGAATTAGAACTTCTTCTGAACATGAGGAAAGCTTTTTGGCTGCCATATTGTGTTTTGTCTAGCATCTGTTTCCTTGAGTATCAGCCCATTGTGCTCCTCTTTTATTGTGGCAGTGCTATGGGAGTTTTTACTAATGTTATGGAGCGGTTTGAGGAATAGTTCCCTTTTATCTGTATTGTATTTACCAACTTAAATGTAATGGAGAAGTTGGTGAGTTATTGGAAATAGATATTCAGGATCAATATTTGCTGCAGTCCTCTTGTTTTGTTTATAGCAACAAATTGTAATAGAGAAGATAGATGTAAAAGCCTAACAGAGGTTTGTGTTTTCAATGCAGGAAATGTTGATCCAGTGACAACTGAGTTTTCATTATGTGTTGTTACACTAAGTGGCAAATATAATTTTAAACTTTTCTGTCTAATGTATATTGATGTAGGGAAGCAATGGCTGTTCACAGATGGGCCAGATTCTGATATCCTTACTCAGGCTGAGCAGCTTCTCAATGATGCTGTTTGTACAGTACAGTACAATTCAGCTTAGTAATGGTATCTGAATCTGTCTCTTTGCTATGATTGACTTATTGCGCTGTGATTCTCTTTAACAGAGGCATCATACACATAGGCTACCCCCAGACCAGCTTGCAAATAGAAGCTTAAAGCTGGAATTTTCAAAGATGCCTAACAGAGTTAGGTGCCTAGCGCCTGTTGAATTTCACTTGGATTCAGGTTCTTTTGGGAATCTCAGCCTAATTTCTAACTGTTATTGACACACAAACACTCACACACAAATGCATGCAGTACTTTTATGGATCAAATGATTTCTCACTAGATAAAGTTAGTTTGGGTGGGTATTTGTTTATTTTTGTTGATTGTTCATAGATAACAGATGTCTTCCTCTTCTGAGACAGATTCCAGGACCATTAGGCATATTGAATTACAGAGGTCTCAGGGGGTATTTTAAAATGATTTCCAGCCATGTCCCAGCTCTAGGGGGAAATTCAACATTGCTGTTTACTAACTCACATACAACATAAAACATACAAAAGAAATAGTTTGGGGATAAGGAGAGAGGTTAATTGCTGGGAGTATCTGAAGTCCCACAGTGCTCAAAATACAACTGAAGTATAAATTTTGAAAGGTCATTCTTTAGCCTATACAAATAAGAGATCTCAGGAACCATTAGTAACTTCAGTTTTCCTGGTTGAAGTATCAGAGTGTAGAGCCTTGAGCTTTACAACCTTATCTGAACCTGAGAGGACCCAACTACACGTGTTGGGATTGGGTTGGGTCGGACCTGAAAATAACCCGATCTGAACTCAGAAGGATCGGGTCATCTCTGATTACCTCCTCTTGCCCATGGGATTGGCATGGCAGTAGCTGCATGCCCCACTCCTGCTGACTGCCACCATCTCGCTGCACTCAGTATATACTACGGAGTGAATGTGCTGGTGTGTTGCAGTGCCTCTCACTCGGCAGCATGCACAGCACAGCAAGACAGCAGCTGATGACGCACCAACCTCAAGGGTCAATGGTGGCTGGAGAAGGATCCCAGGCATGGGCCATGCGGAGTGGGTAGCCTCCATCAGGCCAAGCCCCAAGGTTTGGGGGGAAGTGTCAGGTTTGGGACAGGTCAGTTCTGAAAACAACCCGACAGTCGGGTCATGTTCAAGTTGGCTGTGCTTGGCTTAGGTTCAGGTCTGGGTTGGGCTTTAAAATAAGTTCTAAAAAGTCCTCTAATAAGGCTTACATTTTTAAGGGTCTTCAAAACCAGCAGGGACTAACTAAGTTAATTGCCTTGGATAGGGAATCATTGTAGAACAGGGAGCTGATATGATCATGGTTACTCAGTCCAATGTGCAACAGTGCACTCCCATAGTGAGTTTAAAGTGTAGTCCAAGCATTTGTCTACTGCAGAGACTGAGCAAGGAAACCTTTACAGGGCAAGAAGGATAGTTATGTTGTATTGTGCTGCACTAGAGTCTAGCACCATTTTGTTGTTGGTGCAGCGGTCAGGTGTCCCCACTTTTTGCCAAGGTCTATGTGTCACAATAAGAAATTCTTCCGCTGCACCTAAATCACTTTTGTAGGGTCCCCAAAAGGGGTGATGGGTGGAATAGTCATCCTCTTATTATTTTGTTCACCATGTAGGCCTAATTTCCAAAGCACCAATTTTGGTGTATTCATTTCCGGTACCCTACTCCTTCTCTTACCACCCCACGACTGTGTTATCAGTAGACCCTCTCTGCTAAAATTAATTCAGCCTTTTTGTCTCTTCTTTACATTCTTTCTTAAATAATTTTATATAACTGGGCATTGTGGAAATTCATGAACCTTTACCCACTTTCCACCAGTTAGGCATACAATTAAACTAGACCTGCTAGGACTCAATGATTACAATAGGGCCTTCAGTCTTTCTCTCCTATCTTCAGTACTGAGATGTGAGCCTTTCCGAATATGGGATTGTGTGTCCTGTCATTCAGTGCATTTTACTGATATTCCCTACTACCTGCTGTTTATTTTAATTTGGTAATTTCTGATGACAAGTTAAGTGATACAGAAGATAGACACTCAGTTCATGGCCAGAGGGACTTCAGTTTTACAATTAGATGGTTACTGGTGTCAGTGCAGGGGATCAGTAAATGAGTGCTATGTTTTGGGCTAAGTGGCCTCTTTAGACCCACATGTTATAGGGATGGCAAACCACAGTGAACCCACAAACTCTATAGACTCTCAGGTCTGCATTTTTGGACAATTCTGGATGAGAGACTATATTTATTGAGAGTATATTATACTTAATACACTATTTGTACTTGGCGCTAGCTGTACTAAATTGGACCTGAATTTTTATCAACTCTATTATTAAATTATCCAGAGTTAGTTTGTAAAATATGGCTTCAGTCTTCAACTATTCTCGTAGGTAATTTTTTTTGTGTATACAGTGCCAGCACTTCAAATGTTGCCAGAATAGAAGAGATGGAGAGACTTCTGAAACAAGCTCATGCTGAAAAGACACGACTGCTTGAATTCAGGGTAATCTAAAGATTTCTTTGACAGAGGTTAATAGATACTTTGTTAAGATAATACAAATTTCATTTAGCCATTTTCTTAAATTGCAATTGCCGAACACAGCCCTGAAGTACTCGTTTTTCACTTCCCCCAACTTTGTCCCACTGGAATCCTGCCATTCCTGATACTCTGTGCAACAGCTACCATTTCTGTGGCTGAGGTGGACAGAAATCCTTTCAGAGCTAATCACCATTGCTCCTTCATCTGCTAAAGGGATGGCTTATGAGTAGTACTTGCTTACCACCCCCATCTTTATAGGACTGCTTAAAGTCTACTAGTCCAGGAGGCAAGAGACCAGCCCCTGTAACTGAACCGAAGTCTCTCAAATGGCACGGCACTAGTCTACTAGTATATATAGACCAGTCCCTATTGCTGGACTTCAGGTAATGATTTTAGATGGTTTAAAATAAAATCAGCCCTATTTTCAAATTTTAAAGTGACTCATGAGTGAAAAACAGGAACTTGAAAACAAAACCTGCTTTAGCTATGAAACAAAATAATACTGCACTTTAGAATTGACATTACTGAATGTTAGTTATATTTGCTTGCATTTAAATAAGACACAAAAGATTTACAGTCCTATTTCAGTCTCCTAATGTTAACAAATACACTTAAATCCCAGTCAGCAAAATGTTTGATAAGAAGTAGCATTTCATTTCATATTACAGTGGCTAGGTTGTTCTGCATTCAGGCAATATTTTGACCCTCTTACAAGAAAATATTAATGCTTTAACAATGAGTTTCCCTCAGAATCAGTCAAATTAACAGACTAGACAGCACAGAAGGTCAATCCCTGATAAAGCTAGGATTGGCTATACCGAGCTCAAGTAGACCCTGTCCAAGTTGGGGGACGACTGTTTACACCTCAATTTGTAGGGGGGAATGACGAGATTATATTGTGTAGATGCAGCTTTAATGTAACTCAGTACTTTTGTATAAAGATATATTGTCTTCTAGCTTTCTGTTTAATATGGCCCTGCTCACTCTGGGATCGGAACCTGCTAGTGGTGTTTAAACACCATTACTGCTACCATAGTCTTAGTGCACTTACCATGACATAATGTGGACATGGATTGTATTTATTTATTTTATTGTGAGAACTGTTTTGTAGCCAACTGGTGTGGTAGACTACCATGTTTTCTGTTCTCCATTGCTCCAGGTAATAGACAGTGGTCCCTCTTATAAACTTCACTGTTGCCTTAGATCATACTCTGTATAATGAACCAATGATACTTTACTATTTGCAGCATTCTAGGTCTTCTGATGTGATATGGTTCCCAGACAAAGTCCCCCAAACCTATCCAGGTTTATTAGAGAAACCATGCTTGTGACAACCTTGTTCAAATGTGATTCTGATCCCTGTTCCCAATCCACCTTGCATATGTTGTTGGCTCCCTGAGAGGTATAAAGGGGCTTGTAGGAGCTCTGGGTGGGATCAAGTTACTTTTAATGTTTATCAGGTGTAGTTTTACATCGCCTATAGCTGAAACTCTGTGTGCACTGTGGTATATAGGAACGGGAAATGGAAGCCAAAAAACGAGCCCTGGAAGAAGAAAAGCGTCGCAGAGAGCAACTAGAAAAAAGATTACAAGAAGAAACTAGCCAGCGGCAAAAATTAATTGAAAAGGAAGTCAAGATACGTGAGAAACAAAGAGCACAGGTGTGTTGACAATCTACCGTGTACACACTGAAACAGCTATATAGCAAGCTTCTCACAATGATGAAGGGAAGGAGTTTCTGTAGATGGCTGGTTGCTTGAGTGCCTGTTGAATTGATTATTTTAATACTTCTAAGATTTTTGTCAATGGTCTGTTAGGGGCCTTGGATAGGTGTCTTTTTAGTAACCTAAATATTTATTGATTTAGATTTAAATATCTCTTCCCATTTATATTGGCATTGTAAATGTACTGTATTAATCCTATAAGGTTTGTCACTGAATCCACTCCTGGCAGAACTGTGCAGTCTGTGTCACAACTATGCTGAATAATGGACATTTCTGAGAGCAGTAACTTTGTGAAAGTACACGATGACTTTTATATGTGGGACATTTTGGATTGTGAGTTGTCCTCTTCCGAATATTTTGTTGAAAAGAAGACTTTTATTTCCCCCCATTCCCTCCTATACACAGCCTCTTCAAACCAACTGAGTGATAAATATTTATTTTGCCAACATTATATGAAAGAAACAATAGTTCATATTTGGTGAATGGATCCCAAAGCAGAGACACCATGGAATTGGACTGACATGATGATATAACTCATTTTTCATGAGCACTATATATATATATTTTTTTTCAATTACGAGTTTTTCTTTTGGTTACCCAGAAAGACCCAATTTCAGGATTCTGGGTTTTTCTTTTCAATTCTTCCTGACATTTAAACACCAAAAACAGTGGAAGGAGCAGCATGTTCTGCAGAAACCAAAGCTACCCGAAGCTTGTTCAGTATAGTGATGTACAATTTCAGAGGGTGCCAAATATACACAATACAAAAGGCCACCACTGTATGTCGAAGGCTGCAGTGATACTAAGTGTCTCAAAGCACTTGAAAACCATTAACGAGTTAGTTATATACCTCTCCATTGCATAGATAGAGAAACTGAGGCACAGAGCAGTTAAGTGACTTGTCCAAGGTCACACAACCAGAGTTCTTCTTTTCCCAAAGCTGCCACAGATATTTTGATCTGTGCTTTAACCCCCGCAAAAAAAAACTCTTCAGTGATTTGAACTCTGTTACTTAATGGATGATTTTAAGAAACCTATGTTCTCTGCTGAAAATCCTTTTTTTTTTTTTTTTAAATGCCAGTATTCAACAGTTGACATAGGTACATATTGCAAAAATTTGTCTGTTCTCTTAAGAAAATCCAAGGCTGCAACTCACAAATTTAATCTTTGCTACCTTCATAGTTTGAACATGGGTGCTACTTGTACTTTTTATCTGCTTACCACATATAGAAAGAAAAAAGATGAAAGATTTATGGAGTATCTTTTTGCTCTGTGTTAGGCCCGCCCCTTGACTCGCTACCTGCCGATCAGAAAGGAAGACTTCGACCTACGAGGTCACATCGAAACAGCTGGTCACAACATAGAGACCTGTTACCACATCTCACTCACGGAGAAGACCTGTCGAGGCTTTCTGATTAAAATGGGAGGGAAAATTAAAACATGGAAAAAACGGTGGTTTGTTTTTGATAGAAGCAAGAGAACATTTTCTTATTATGCAGGTAGGTTGTGTTTCTTCAGCCAGGATTGAGTCCTTCTGTGGCAGTACCATTCTTATGTGCACCCATCCCAACATTTGTCACATAGGCCCTATTGTTACATTAAGTGTCATTTACGGGTCTTCAAAACCAGCAGGGACAAACAAAGTTAATTGCTTTGGATAGGGAATCATTGTAGAACAAGGAGCTGATATGATCATGGTTACTCAGTCCAGTGTGCAACAGTGATTGTTGGTGTTGTGGAGGCTTTTTCAAGTCCTCAGTCAGAAAGGGGCTCCATTATGCTGGGTGTTTTATTTACATGTACACACATATACCACCCACTCAGACTCACACTATCTCTCTTTCCTTTCTCCTGTTCTGAAGAGTTTGCAATCTGAGATGAGACACAAATGAGTGCAACAGACAAAGGGAGGGAAGAGGGCAGAGGAGGGTAACAACAATAAGATCATCAGGTTCCTACTGTACAGCTGGTTTTGTGTTATTTAATTATTAAATAAAATCAGTTATAATTGACTTTGGTATAGCCTAGTCCTCACTGGTGGCCTGATTTCTGGTAGGCTTCACAGAAGAACTTGATTCGTGTTAACTTATTTTAAAAAAAAATCAGATTAATCACTTGCCTTTATAACGCACTTTCTTTAACTTAACATCTCAACATATTTTAACATTGTTCCTTGTGGTCTGGAGATGACGAAGATCATCATCATAATTTAATGATAAATGCGAACTAGATTCTTGGTTTTAATTGTCATACTCCTAAAGGCAGTTAAAACACAGACCAATCAAACTTCTGTCATTTCTAGACTAAGGAAATCCAATAAATAAATTTCAGAAACAGCTACATCTAGATTACTACCATCTTTGAAGATAAAATCATAGGCTTTAAATTGCTTTATTACATAGACTAGTTTTAAATAAAAATACTGGAAATATACAAACGGATGCAAATACAAAAAATCTGCAGCGCTACTGTACATTTTTGTGGCTTATTGTTTGAATGTGAAAGTTGGGATGGATCCAGAAATATATTTTGTAGTGTTTTAACTTCCATTGGTAAAAGAAATCAGGTGATATGTGTTCCTTTGCTTGGTAACAGTTATCTGCTATAAAATCTGAACAGTTCCATTTCCTCACGTGGCATTACATTAGCAGCAGGCAGAATGGAGCTGAATATTGGTGGTAGAGGAATATATTACAAATTACCCATTTTATGTTTTTGAAAAATTGATACTTGTAGTCACTAAATGTCCATAATATTTCAGAATAGTTTGCAATATTAGTTATGGTAAAACTTAAACAGAAACATTCACTTTTACTGTTCTGAACATCTGGTTTATTTATTAGCAAGGCATTTAACAAATAGTATAGTGCTCCCATCTGGTACTGATTTATAAAAGATAGTTACTTTAATAGTTACCAGTTTCAGTTTCGAGTTCAGCTCAGCTGCTCTAATGTAGTGTCAATTATCAAAGAAAACATTTCATAATGTCTCGAGGACTCAAGCCAACAAACAAAATTAAATGAAAACCTCATACCAGCTGAGTACAAATGCAGCTGTTGGTATGCATTAGAAACTGTCAATGTGACTTTAACAATACAGCAAATTTCCAAGATAAGTATTGATGCTATAAATGTAGAGCCCATGGTCTGTAACTGAACATACAGGTATAGTGTCCTTAGGATTGCACGTGTACTGAGCAGAAAGAGAACTGACCCCCGAAGCCTGTAATGTAGCACAAAGACTAAAATGTAGTTAGTTCTTGATCTGAAAATTATATAGAACTTTCTTGGTACAAAGACTAAGCATTGTCTAAGCACTGAACATTACATTATCAGATTAACATTTTGTCACGAATATTTCTTCCAAAACTGTAAGAATGGTTACTCACGTCTAAAGTGAAATGCGCATATAGGGCCAGACTTTGGAGGGGCAGGGGAAATGAAAGCAGCCTACCCTCTTTGCAAGTAGAAACTGCAGGCACAAGTAATGGAACTTAGATGGTGAACATGTCTGCATAAATGACAGGAATCAATCCCAAACAAGAGGCCAGTTGGAGGCTGTGCAGAAAATCCAGTCCGTAATCTTTTTCTCTTTAATGTCTCCTAATTAAAGCCATCCCTGATTCAACTTCTCCTTGGTCTCTTAATACCATCATTGCTACAGTAGTGTTATAAATTTGTAAAGGACCCGCTTGCACCATTGTTGAGTAACAAGTAAAATTTTAGTTTGAAGCTTCTGAGAGTTTACCGTAAACAGGAAAAGTATTTTTTTTTAAATAGAAAAAGTCTTCATGCAATGTTGTTTTGAAGTAAAACTAAGTATTAAATTGTCTGCTAGATTTGGTCTTCATAGCAGCTTTGGGGGGAAAACGTCACTGTTAGCATGCCAGTTTGTTGTAATGTTTTAGCAACAATGATCTAATAAAAAAAATTAAGGTGAACACTGTATTTAACTTTGTGTGCAATTTTACCTACTGTAAATATGCTACCCAATTGAAAAGGCAAGCTGAAGATTCCATGGGGTATTTTGCAAACGAAAGTGCTAGCGTGCAGTCTTTGATTAATACAGGAGTGAACATGCAAATTCAATTAACCCTTCAACGCTTATGTTTGTTTCAAATTTCAAAGCCCAGTTTCTCTCTCGTTTGCAGACAAGCATGAAACTAAATTAAAAGGAGTAATATATTTCCAAGCCATTGAAGAAGTCTATTATGATCATCTAAAGAATGCATATAAGGTAAACATTATCATTTTTGTTATTTTTATTAATTATTCTATAATAGCACCCAAAATGTGGTAGATGTTGTACAGACATAGGAAGATAAAATTCATGTCTCAAAGAGCTAAAAAAAAAACAAACCCCAAAATCCCTTACACACACACAAGGCATGGAAACGCATAGAATGTGTAGATAAAGTGGCCAGGGCAATGACTGGCATACCTAATTTTGTATGCAGTCTTGTAGCCGTGTCAGTCCCACGATATAAGAGAGACCAGGTGGGTGAGATATTATCTTTCATTGGGCCAACTTCTGTTGGTGAGAGAGACAAGCTTTTGAGCTTAAACAGAGCTCTTCTTCAGGTCTGGAAAACGTACTTGACGTTTCAGCTAAATACAAGGTGGAACAGATGTGTTAACTATTTATGGTAAACAATCTGTTCCACTTTGTATTTAGCTCTGACACTGTTGAGTAAATTTCCCAGACCTGAAGAAGAGCTCTGTTTAAGCTTGAAAGCTTGTATCCGACACCAACAGAAGTGGGTCCAATAACAGATCTTACCTTACCCACCTTTTGTCTCTCATACATAATTTTGTTAGTTCAATATATAAAACAAGATATTGAGAGACAGAAGAGATGTACTCCACCTGGCAAGTGAGGTGGTCTCAAAACGGGCCAGGGGCGACAGGTACTCCTGAGTTCTAATTCCTGCTGTGCCACTGTCAATCCCTTTGTGGCTTTGGGTAAAAATAAGTCCCTCAGCTTACATTTCCCTCACTATAAAATGGGGATAATAATGCACTTTAATCGAAGGATTGATAGTGTTTATTACTTTACATGAAAGAGAAAAATGGTTCTTCCATTCTGAGTATTGGGGCAGCATTCTGCTATCTCTGCTCAAAAAGTCCCAGTCTGATGAGAGACTTTTCAGATTTTCCAATCATCTGCAAAGGTACCAAGTAGTCGGATCTCATCCTTGATATAAATGTTTAAAAATCAGCAGAGGTTGAAAACAAGGAATTAGACCAATTAGATTTGTCCTCTTTTACATTAATGGAGTTTTCATTATATAAAGAGAACAGTACTTAGATACAGAGCCTACTCCCAGATGTAAAGAACATTTAAAGATTTACTTCTGTGCACAAGGGAAATGTAACTTCTGCAATAAATCCCTATCCTATACCACCACCCATATCTGGAAAAGAGAGAAATGGTGGTAGAGTATCTGGCAGCATTAGGGTTTAGGGAGGACTCGGCAGACGAGAGATGACCACATGGAGCTTTTCGTATCCGCCACCAGTCCCAGATGCTGAAAATGCGTCTGATGGCACATACACAGAGGTTTTTCCCGAATATGGTGTTTTAGGGGTGAAATATTGGCTCCAGTGAAGTCAATGAGTATTATGCCACTGACTTCAATGGACCAGGATTTCATCCTAGGTTACTAGAGCTGCAGCTACAGGTGGCCTAAATCAGGGGATGTAGTTGTGTTTCTAGCTCAAGATGGGAGTTGATTTGATTTTGAAGCCCTGAGAGGAGTACCCCTGACTAGCATCTGCACTTTGGAAGGACTGTGAGCTGTTTCAACCCATCCTCAAGAAGTGGACTTCAAGAATTAAAATCACTTTTGATCACTTGCTGCAGCAGGTGCACAGGGGAAATTGTGGTTTAGAGATGAAGCAACATTTGGTCTCACATATTGCTGCTCAGTTTAGGGGCAGGTCTATACTTACCGGGTAGTTCGACGGCTGGCAATCGAAGTTCCGGGTTCGATTTATCACGTCTGGTCTGGACGCAATAAATCGAACCAGGAAGTGCTCGCCGTCGACTGCGGTACTCCAGCTCAACGAGAGGAGTACCGCGGAGTCGACGGGGGAGCCTGCCTGCTGCGTGTGGACCGCGTCTGAACCGCGGTAAGTTCGAAGTAAGGTATGTCGACTTCAGCTACGTTATTCACGTAGCTGAAGTTGCGTACCTTACTTCGACTTGGGGGGTTAGTGTAGACCAGGCCTAGGAGTAAGTCATACAGTGTATCTGCATTAGGCCTGAGTACTCTCAACACCTGTTTCCTGCTAGAGGTAGCAGGATGGGGTTGAGCAAATCCTGAGTTACTCAGGATGAGATGTGAAGTAGCCATTGCTCAACTGGCTTTTTCCTTGACAGTCTCCCAGTACAGGATTTTACTCACTGTCAATAAACTGCTCTCATGTCATACAACTGATTTTGCTGCTTCTTTTTTATTTTAGAGTCCTAACCCATTACTCACTTTCAGTGTTAAGACTCATGACCGAATATATTACATGGTTGCTCCAACGCCAGAAGCCATGAGGATATGGATGGATGTTATAGTTACAGGAGCAGAAGGCTACACCCACTTCATGTTATAATAAAATGGTGCAAGAGTTCATTCACAAGGCATATTGCAATAACCCTATACATGAATTTAGCCATATGCAAGTGAATTTGAAAAGCCATATACAATATTGATAACTGTGACAAGTATTCTCCCTATGATGTGCACACAAACTCTCAAAATCAAAAGATTTTATACACACAAGTGAAAGTAAGATTATTTGCTTCTTTTAGTTGATCATTATAATAGCGAAAGAACTAAAGCTATTGAAAGTGTCATAGTGTTCTATCATGAGTAATCAAGTCAACTTAAGTATGGTATATTGATTCAATAGTAATTTCTTACAAATTCTATATAGAAGATGTCTTCATAAATACAAACTAAACAGTTTACAGAATTGTTTGTGTGTGCTCATTGGTATGCAAACATTTTAGTAACGGAACAGAACAGTATAATAGCATATATTTTTAATATGCAGTATTTGACATTTATAGGTAATTAGATGGCTTTTTAAAATTTGTACTTATATGTATTTTATAAAAAATATATATATATATATGAAAAAACCCAAACACACCAGCCTACAATACATGTAGTTCTTGTCTTAGTATTTTAAAATACTACAGAGCCAAAGATTTACATGATTCCTGTATAAGAGTGAACTCAAATCGTGAGCTGCGCTTTAGCTTTGTGTAATGGAACAATGCCAAAATTCTTCCTAAATTTTAATATAATTCAATCGCTACAGTATTCTGTACATTTAAATTACCAGTTGCATAAACTGTATGTGTAAAGTCATTTACATAAAGCACAACAAAGAAGCAATAGCTTCACAAAGATGGTCTCTCTCACAAGGTAAAACTGAATGGAGACAAGAGTATCAAACTTAACTTTGCCATAAGTTTTCTGCATTCTCTCTGCAGGAGGCATTGAACTGATTCTCTGGCTGGTTCCTGAAGCAATTTCTGTTGTATGGAGTTCAGTCTTGCCATAGATATGATTCTAGTCTAAAGCTAACGTGCTGAAATCAATGGGTAAAATCTTTGCCCAATTGAAGTCTGCATGAAAACTCCCATTGACCTCAGCCAGTGAGACTGTTCAAAGTATACACTGGTCTAGAATTTCACCGTATGATAGGGTAGAGCACAAAGAAAGGCAAGTTGTGAGAGCCCATACTAAAACAGTATTATAAATAAAAACTTTTAAGTAGCAAACATGACAAAGACCTATTTTTTCATGTATGCTCCTTGTAAATGTTCTCCCATTTAAAAACTGCTTTCTAGCCCTTGACTATTATATAAAAATAAATTATTATTGAATAAAACCTGGACTTCAGACAAATCTTCAAATAGTTCCTTATTTTAGTATTCTGGATTTGTAAGTGCCATATTGTTCATTTAATTAAAGAAATCACACTAAAAGCAAAGAAGAAAGTGGCTTTTGATTAAACCAGGGGTGGCCAACCTGTGGTTCCTTAATAGTTAATATGCGGCTCCTTGTATAGGCACCAACTCCAAGGCTGGAGCTACAGGTGCCAGCTTTCCAATGTGCCAGGGGGGTGTTCATTGCTCAACTCCTGGCTCTGCCACAGGCCCTGCCCCCACTCCACCCCTTCCCACGCCCTCCCCTCAGCCTGCTGTGCCCTCGCTTCTCCCTCTCCCTCCCAGAGCCTCCTGCATGCCACAAAACAGCTGATCGGGAGGTGTGGAGAGGGAGGAGGAGGTGCTGATCAGTGGGGCTGCCGGTGGGTGGGAGGTGCTGGGAGTGGGGGGGTGGGAGGAGCTGATGGGGGGCTGCTGACATATTACTGTGGCTCTTTGACAATGTACACTGGTAAATTCTGGCTCCTTCTCAGGCTCAGGTTGGCCGCCCCGGATTAAACAAATTAAAACCTGAAAGCAGAATAAATTATGCTTGCTGAAAGTGTTGCACTTTTAAAATCCTATATCTGGCATGAATGGGTATGAATTTTTTTTTTATTTTTTTATTTTTGGTGATATGCACAGGTCACACATGGTTGCTCTAGAATTATTTTATTAGTTTTGATGTGCGCCAGATTTGACATGATGAATCAGGAAAGATGGAACTGTTATCATCAGGAATAATTTTTATCTTTAATTTCTGTGCAGATTACAGCTACAAGAAATTTGTAATCTAATGATTTTAAAACATAAAAACAATACCAGAAAATAGTTGCTTTGATTTATATAATTACCGGTATTTTTTTTTCTGTGATTGTACCTTGATTTTACTTTAATGTATGATTATACAAGTTTTCTAATAATGATTTTTGTATCCTGCATGATGCGATTAAGACTTCTAAATAAATGTTTTTAAAAATATGTTTGTTTTTATTTTTAAACATTGACCTGATTTTTCATTATGAAACAGTCTTGCTTTTCTTATCACTATCATCATTTCCATTGCATATAATTAATATTGTTGACAAATGCAAAAAGTAGTTGAAATCTGATGATCCAATATTTTTTTCCATAAAAGAACTGTGGAAAATACATCTTTAAGTATAGGTGTATGTTGTACCTGAAAACTATCTTTTGAAGAGTACTACCTGCCTACATTGCATGTGCATATCTTTCATTAACCTTCCTTCTTTTTGTAATAAACCTTAGTTTGAGAGTTGTGAATTGCCAGCCCTTAATTTTTATTTATCCACAGAACAGGAACAGCAGAAGTTCAAGTTTTTTCCCATGCTTGAAGGCAGAAGATGTTAGTTCAGTCTCTATGGCCTATGTAATCCTTGATTCATCTGCTGGGACTTCCAATAAGGTTGCAAATATAGAGTGGTGGATTTTGTGCTGTGGATGCCTAAAAGCTGGACTAAAACTACCAACTTTATTTTATATAAACCCTGAAAAGGGACCCTGGCATCTCATTAAAAATCCGGTTGGCCGCCCACAGCTGGGCAGGCAGGCTCCATCCCCGGCAGCTCCGCAAGGCCCGGGAAGTGGCGGCAGTCCCTCCAACTCCCAGGCGGAGGGGCTGCTCAAGGTAGGGTGACCCTACAGCAAGTGTGAAAAAAAGGGACGGGGGTGGGGGGTAATAGGAGCCAATATAAGGAAAAGACCCAACAATCAGGACTGTCCCTATAAAATCGGGACATCTGGTCACCTTAGCCCAAAGGGCTCTGCGCACTGCCCAAGCCCTGAGCGCTGACTCCACAGCTCCCATTGGCCAGCTGTGGAGTGGCACTCAGGGTGGCGCAGGCAGGGGCAGCGTGCAGAGCCCCTTGGGCAGCCCCTTCACCTAGGAGCTGGAGGGACATGCCGCTGCTTCCTGGGAGCCATGACCGCATGGACTTCCTCTGTCCCCGGCCTCGAGGGTTACCATATTTTAAAAAAACAAAAAGAGGACACTCCCCCAGCCCCACCCCCTTCCCCTGGCCCCATCCCAACTCCGCCCCTTCCCCAAAGTCCCCACCCCAACTCCACCCCCTCCCCTGAACGCTCCGCCCCCTGCTCCTCCCCCTCCCCTGCTTCCCGCAAATCAAATGTTCGCGGGAAGCCTGAAACAGGCAGGCAGCAGGTAAGCTGGGGCGGTAGCAGTGGGGCGCGAGGAGGCGCGGCCCAGTCCGGCCCCGGCGTCTCCGGCCCGGCTCGGGCCTTGGGGCGCCGGCCCCAGCCATGCGGCTCTGGCCCCGACGACTCCAGCTCTGCTAGGGCCCCAGGGCACTGGCCTTGGCCAAGCGGTGCCGGCCGAATACCCCCAGTCCCAGCGGCTCCAGCCCGGCTTGGGCCCCGGTTCTGGCCAAGCAGCTCCAGCCCGGACCCACCCCCAGCCCCGGCTCCAGCTCCAGCGGCTCCAGCCCGGATCCAAGCCCCATGACCCCTCCCTATTTTCCCGGACATGTCCGGCTTTTTGGAATTTCCTCCTGGACGGGGATTTGAGGACCAAAAAGCCGGACATGTCCGGGAAAATCCGGATGTATGGTAACCCTACTGGCCTCCTGAGGGCAGTACTGCCTGCACCCCCTACCCTCTCTCATGCTTCAACCCCCTGCCTCAGCCCTGAGCCCCCTCCTGCCCTGCAATCCCCTCAGCCCCAGCCCTGAGCCTCCTCCCGCACCCCAACCCCCCCTCCCCGAACCCGCACCCCCAGCTGGAGCCCTCAACCCAACCCCCTGTCCCAGTCCTGAGCCCCCTCCCAAACCCCGGAGCCCCAGCCAAGCCATACCCCCAGCTAGAGCCCTCCCCACTTCCCTTGCCCAGTGCAATTGAGTTAGTGAGCAAGGGGAGGGGGATGGCCTGAGCAGGGGGCGGGGCGGGGCAGGGCCTTCGGTTTTCTGCAATTAGAAAGTTGGACTCTAGGCGGGAGGAGGGGGACATTCTGCGGGGAAGAGGCACATGCTCCCGCCCCCCCCCGCCGCACAGCAGGGCTCCCTCAGCCTCGGGCTGGCCACGCGCTCCCTGGCGCTGATTGGCGGCGCCTGCGCCTCTGGCGCGATGAGGAACGAGGCTCCCACCCCCAAGGGACGAACGGCCCTGCTCTCCCGGCTCACCCTCAAGGCGCATGCGTCCTCCCCCTCCCTGTCCGCCTGCGGGAGGGGGCGCATGCGCAATCCTCCTGTTTTGGTCATGCGCCGGCGCCTACGCTCTTTCTTGTAGTCTGGTCCTTAAGTGCCGACGCAGCGTCCTTATTACGTTGGAGAACGCACACTAGGCTGGGAACGCAAAAACGCATGCGCACAACCGCCCCTTCTCAGCGAGGCGCATGCTCAGTTCTGCCCCCGCGCTGCCGAGGAACGACGAGGGCGGGACGTTCACCCCACGCGGGGCAGTGCGGGGCCGGGACATGGCAGCGGCGGGCGGCGGGGTCTGGGCGCTATGGTGGCGGGGACTGATCTGCGGCAGGGCCGCTGCTCGCTGCGCAGAGTCCGGGGCCGGCCGCGCCTCGCTGCTGCTGCTGCGGCGGCCTCCAGGGCAGCTGCTGGGTAAGCGCGGGGCCAGGCCGTTATCGGCGCCCAGCCCGGCTCAGGCGGCCCCAGGGGCGGGGCCTGGGCGCGCTCTGCCGTGACGTGTCTTCTGCCCGCAGCCCCGCGGGGAATCACGTGGCGCCGCAGGGGGCGGGGGTTCTTTGGAGGAGCTGTGTCAGCACGTGATCCCTGTGGCTCCCACCTAGCCCGTGCTGTTGCGGGTGTCCTCACGCTTTTGGGCCCTCCAGGGTTGGATGTCACTTGGTCTTGCTGCTGTGCTATCAAGACCCGTCGTTTTTTCCCAGTTGTGTTTCTTTTCTTGAAGTAGCTACCTGAGGTAGGCTGTAGCGTGCTTGGCCCACACTGCCAGCTACCCGGTATTACGGGCTCAGGATCATCCTGGGTCCCCTGGTGTGTGCATCTCCAGAGGTGGCAACCCTAATCTTGATCTTCTCGTGGACCGTCGTGCCGGGTGTTCTACGGGCATACATACATGTAGTGTCCTTTTCAGAAGTGCAGCTCTTTCTTAGTGCATGGTGGGGATGTCAGGGCTGGAGGGCACATGAGGAAGGCGTTAGGCCTCAGACCTCAACTTGGAGAATGTTTCAGCCAGCCTTAAGAATATAAGAACATAACATAAGAATGGCCATACTGGGTCAGACCAAAGGTCCATCTAGCCCAGTATCCTGTCTTCCAACAGTGGCCAATGCCAGGTGCCCCAGAGGGAATGAACAGAACAAGTAATCATCAAGTGAGCCATCCCCTGTCATCCATTCCAAGCTTCTGGCAAACAGAGGCTAGGGACACCATCCCTGCCCATCCTGGCTAATAGCCATTGATGAACCTATCCTCCATGAATTTATCTAGGTTTTTTTAACCCTGTTATAGTTCTTTTGACATGTAGCTAAGGTCCAACCCATTCCGCCATTGCCTTGTCATCTGTTCATGGTGTGACTAGGCTCAGCATGCCTTCCTGAGGATCCCACTGCCTTTGATGCTCCATCTTGATCTGAGTAGACTTCCCCTAAGACACTGTATGCTGGGTTCAGCTGACTGTAGCTTGCTTTAATAAATATTAAAAGCAGCCATGAGCCCTTAGGAAGCTGTGGTCCGTGCCTTCACTGGAGCAAAATTTGCAAGCCCTTGCAATAAAACAATAAGGGGAAAATGTTAAGTTGTTCACATAATATTTCTTGAGATTTCAAATCTGTCACTCCAGGAAAATGGCACCAAAATGATCTGAGACAGACTTAGCTTATTTACTGCTTAAGTATTATCACCAGGCTGTACAGACAGACCCAGTTACATTGTTTTCAAACTGAGTTAGCTAAATTTAATTTAAAACTCAAGTTCAAGTGCAATTATTTGTCTGGCCAACATCAGTAGATTGTTGTTACTTGTATAACGGTTTCTGAAATTGATTGAAATATAATTTAGTCTGTTTGTGCAATCCAACCATATTGTTTCAGCAGAATCTGAGTTCTGAACCAGTTTAGCAAAATCAGTCTGTGAGCCTGTTGGATATAGAGGCTGTAGAGTACTTGATTTTTGAATAAGTTATTATATACCACTTAAACTGGAGCTACAACTGAACAAATTCAGCTGATTTACTGGTAGTTATTCCCCTTCCCACATGGGACTATCAATACCAATACAAACTCCTTTTGTACTGAGGTAACTGCATCCCCACTTACACTGCTAAACCATACCAGTATAGTTAAAGTGATGCAATTTTCTAGCACTGTATAGACAAGGAGTGTAAGAGTACAGGAGTGTTCCTTTGGCCAAAATTCTTTTTCCTTTCCCCTCCCCTGTTTTATACACTCCTCTCCCATCGATATGTGTTGTACTATATACTGAGCGTTTACCACTTTTCATCTTTGAACTGCAGTCATTTCTACTTTGTGTTGTGTAGTTTGAAGCACTTCAGGGTTAAAAACCTTATATAAAATATGAATGACATAGTTCATGTGTTGTCATCTCATACTATCTGTCAGTGCAACTTTTGAGGAAAGTAAAGAGGAGGAGTCATGACAAAAAGGGCTCAAGGTGTGGTAACTATATCTATCTATATATTCAAAGTTGTGTACCATGAACAGTGTTTTGTATCCCAAAGATCCTTCTTTTTTGTTTGTTTGTGCTGAGTTGAATGAGTTGTGGAGAACACAGAAGTTGCTGTACAGAAATTGATAAACCCAGATTAGCTTTCCAATTTCAGGCATCTGCCTGCTTGGCTGGATCAAATTGTAGGTTCAGGGCCAATTTAAAAAAAAATTTGATGGAGGGAGGAACATCGCTTTTAGGTTCTATGTCTGCCCAGAGTCGCACTAGATTTTTTTTTTTTTTTTTAGCTTCTACTGTTTCTTTTTTTTAATTTTCTTTGATGTGCAAACAACCCCCTCAACTACAGAACAAGATAATATACCAGACTACAGACAATGCTGTTAAATACACTGTGCGAACTGAAAAAGTATAGGGATTTTTTTTGCATTTCATTGTGACAGTAATCCTTTTTAAAAAACAATTCTTCAAAAATGACTGACTTTAACTTTTTGCTCAAAAGGTACTATAGCAGCTTTACAGAGCAATGATCAATATTTACTCTTTTACTTATCAGCATAGTGCATCTGTTGCAAGTTATAATTACTTGTGCACATATGTAAGTAAAAAGGAGATGTTGTGAACATAGCCTTTAGGGTAACAGGAGACTAGGTCTTAGTTGCTGCAGGACAGTTCTGTGGTGTGATGCTGTCGCCCACTTGTTTTAATGCGTAGCATTTCTGTATCTACTGAACTACATCACTAGGTCAGCCTTGAATTAATATTGTAGAGGCCCAGCAGATTTTATTTGGGGATGCATTAGTTTTTCATTAGTGAAAGGTGGGTCATTGGAAATTAATAATATGTAAATATTATATAGTGCTTATGACATAGCTTTAAGAATCTGACCTAATATGTCAAAAGGTCCATACTCAGCTTAGCATTTCATAGATCATATATAGGAGGGGAAATGGTCCCAAATCACTTTGCTTCATCCACAACTGAAAAGCTGCTAAAAACTGGATTTAATTTAAATACTATAGAAACCCACGAGATCTATTGAAGTATTCAGTATATCATCATTTTCTTAATCTCTCCAATGTGTAAAATTTGCATCAAACTGAATGGCACTGAAGCCTTCAGCCTAGTCTGTGTTTTCAAAAGTGAAAAGCCTTGTTTGTGGCCATCTTGAATTAGTATGTATTCCTCTAACTAAACTAACAATTCTTTATTGTGTTCAATACAACAATAAGAAACCTGACATGGTTTATAATTATGTAATGGAAATCAGTGGTTCTCAACTGGGGGTCTGTGGCCCCTTAGGGGACTGTGAGGCAGGTTCAGGGGATCTGCTAGCCCTGAATCCCAATGCCTTGCGGGGTAGAAGCCCAAAGACATGAGTGGAGTTGGGGGGATGGGAGGGACCAGGGATGTTGCCCCCCAAAACTGCAGTGCCAGAGCAGGATAGTCCTGGGGCAGCTCCACTCTCCCTCTGCTCCGGTCCTGGCGAAGTTGGAGGTGGGGTGGGGAGCCGGGCAGTGTCATAAAGTGGGCAGCCACAGTGCTCCCCCATCTCCTCCTCCTCCTGCTGGTGCCCAGGGCTGTGGTTGCTTCTCAGTCAAAGGGGGTTGGGAGCTGCTCCTGCCGCCAGTAAGAGCCTTCCAGGTAGGGGGACCATCTCTGGGGTGGCCAGAGCCCTTCTGGAGCAGTGACCGCCACCTTCCCAGCATATAGGCCCTAGCTACTCACTGAATGCACCCTGAGCTATCCCCCTGCCTGCATACTGTCCCTAGCTTCCCCTTTCCCTGCACCATGAGTGGTTTTCAAACTTTTTGAGCTGAGCCTCCTCCTCCCCCCCCCCTTTGGATTATAATTTTTGGATGCATGCCCCCCACAACCCAGACAAGGTGCGGTAAAGCTGAGGTGAGTCTGGGAGTGGAGGTGGTGCTCCCTCCCCGGGCCCTACTGTGCAGAGCTGGCCCGAGCCCCGCCAGGCCTTGCTCCCCTCCAAAATAGAAATCAACTATGCCAAGAGTCCCCCTGCCCAGTGGCCAGAGCTAAAGCCCCAAACCTGCCCTTTCCCCTTCCACCTGCTGGGCCCTGGAGTTTTCATAGCATGTTGCAGGAGCTCAGAAAGAAAAAGGTTGAGAAACCCCTGATGTAGATGATTTGTCTAATGTTAACTAGGCCCTCTGATTTAAATGTTCTAATATGTGCAAGACAATGGAAAATTTTCAAACCTCAGTAACTTGTGGATAGTGGGAGAACATGAACTATAAGAACAATGTGTCTGCATTGGCAAAAATCCCCCAAACCACACAGTGAGGAATCTGTACCTATTTAGCGGATGATAATTAGAAATTGTATAAGTATACTCTTTTTTTCCAAGCAAATGCACATCTGACAGACTAAATGTATTGTTGTTGTACCTCCAAGCAGAAATAGAATAAGAGACCGAAAAAAAGACGACCACAACAGAGAGATACTTATCTTCACTGTATACCATGAATTTTAAGCAGCATTGTTCATAGTGGTAGTATTCATCTTAAAACTTGGAGGGGGGTAGGAATGATAAATTATCAGAATCCTACTGGACAGAAATGGCATGCAAATGTGATAGCCTTTTGTACTACACATTTTCACACATGTATTGTTCCAGATGCAGCCTTCAGTTCAAACATACAGGTGACCCCAGCATTTGTTATCTCCTCTGTCACATACCCTCTGACTTTTTGATAACTGGATTCTTGCTCTTATGGTATGTGGAGAGAGAGAACCAGATATTTTTGCTTAGGCTTTTTAGCTGACATGATAAATGTTGTCTTCTTTATCTGAAAGATCAATCTGACAACTCCAACTAAAATCCTGGTTTCATCCTGGTTCTGTACAATAAATAATGGCTCCAAGGAATCATTATAGTCCATCATGTCCTCTTAGGTACACGGTAGGGGCTTTCAGTTCTTTCTATAGATGGCATT